AATACAGGTTCAAATACACATAGGTATATGTATGTGGAATTTAGTACTTATAAAGCATTCACATGCCTATATTTAATTTTAAATAATAATATTTTATATTATCAGACTATATAAATATTTATAACATTAGAAAATTTAGGGATAGGTATTAAATAAAAGAAAATTACTCTCTGTTTGGTATTGTCCTGTATAGTCAAATATGTAGATGTCAAAAAAGAGTCATAAAACATGGAGGAAAAAATGATACCTCCTCTTTAGAAAATACCAGAGTGGATTATAAAGAAGACCCATTTCTTGGGATTTCCATTAACATAAATTTTTCATTAGGTCCTCTAACATGACTTTTCCATATTGTCTAAAGACCTTCAATTATGTGGTATAACACAAATCCTTTCATTGGTCTAGAATTGGGTAAGGAATTAATATTGTTAGTAATGATTATTTTGCTTTAAAATAAAATTTCACTGCCACACAGTTGTGGAGGATGGAAGTGGGACTGAGAGTGTCAGTAGGGTTGGGTCCTTCTCTGGAGACTATCAGAGGGGATCCTTCCTCACTCCACCCTCACTTCTTCTGGTCAATGACAGTCCTTAGTGTGCCTTGGCTCACAGAAGCATGGCTTTAGTTGCTGCCTCTCTGCATACCTCTCCCTCCTTTCTGTGTCTGTCTATGTGTCTCCCCTCTTCTGAGGATACAAGTCAGGGTGGACTAAGGGTTTGAGTGAGAGATTTAGAAAATGATTAAAAAATTCAATGAAAATCAGAAGGATGAAAATTCCCCACTTTGTTTCTCCTATAGTAACTGGCTCTTCTAAATCTGTGATGCTTCAGTGAAGATTTTTGAATCTCCTTTTATGAGACATCACACTTAGAGAACAGAGCCATGTCTCAATATGATCAACTGTCCAAGGAGTAGTAAGATTGGTAGAAGGAGGCAAACTGGCCTTAATTCCTAGAGACTAAGAAGTGATTGATGACAATGACATGAAAAGGAAAAGAAAAAAAGTAGGGAGGAATTCTTTATTTTTCCTCTTGGTTGCATGTTGTTTCAATCACAACCACCAGTGAAAATAACATGAGGCATAGTGAGGACATTTCAATATCTGCATAAGACTGGTGTTTTCATAACATTTGAAATCTTAATATTTAAGTAATTCCATAGATATTGTCATGTAGGGAAATAGATTTTTGGTTCACCAGAGCCCTCTGTATGTTTGTTTCAAACATTATAAACATTATTTATGTGTCTTTTGGCTAAACTTTCTCCACAGGAGGGACACAACAGAGCCTGAATGACTTGAGGTCCTCACCCAAATTGTGCCTGACTCAGCTGAGGACAGGTGATGAATTTTAAGGGTGAAGACTTGGCTGACACTGAAATGTACTCTCCAGCTCCTTGTCTTTTAAAGGAAATGTGTCTTCCTAATCTCACATGAAAGATATCAGAACTTATTTTTATGTAGGAGAAATAGCAGACAAAGAACAATTTTATCAATAACCACTGAATAGATAATTAATACAATTAACCAAATCCCATACAAATTCCAAAGGACCAACACAGCAAAAATTAAAAGCAACTTCAAAATGTTAAGGTTTGACATCTACTTCTTGCACACTAGAGAACAAATTCTGCTTTTTATATCATAAATCAGAAGATATAGAGACACGCTTGTGCTTCAGTCCAAAAGAAGGATGCATCCAGGCTCACAGTGACCAACCAAAATAAATAAATAAATAAATAGTGCTTCTCTGTGGACTAAGGAGCTTGAAGGATTGGCAGTAAAGAGAACTGAAGGTGCACAGTATGTGTTTAGCACATGGAAGCAAAGAAATTTTTTATGTGGCTTCTCTTATAGGGACAGACAGATGGGCAGCTCCCAGGCAAGGTCTGGGTGTAGTTTCTTCCTGTATAAATAAATGAGGTACTATGATATTTACTCTAAATCCATTCTCAGTCTCAATTACCCTTCCTAAACCTCTCTATCTGAATTCTACAGTACCCCAAATACCTCAACATAACTTCCTTTTTTATAGTTAAGTTTAAAGCTCCCCAATGATAAAAGCTGTTGATAGTGTTAAATGTGTTAAAAATTACTAAGAATGATATACTATTGAAGATGCTCATGTGTTAATGTCTTTATGTCTTGACAGAGAAGACAAAACTTGGAAAGATTTAGTGACTTGTTAGAGATAGACATATGAGGCTGGGGATGTAGCTCAGTTGGTAGAGTCTTGCCTCACATGCACAAGGCCCTGGGTTCAATCGCCAGCACCACAAACAAACAAACAAATAAAAATAGGCCTTGATATTAGACATATGGTAGCATCCAGACCCACTGTGACCTGAATTATGCCTCTCAATGATAGCTCCTCTCACTTCAACTCCCTCCCTTCTTGGTCTCCCCTGCTACACCCTCAATGAGCTCATGCCATTGAGGATATATCCTGTGTCTTTCTCCTTGGTGCCTCATTTCTACTCTTATTTCACAGAGGTGACCTCCACTTTGGAAACTGGATTCATTTGCAAAAATACTCAGTCAAGACCCATTAGGGCTTGTAGAACCTGGTCTTCAGGAAACTACTCTTTTGTACCTGCACAAGCTCCAGAGAAATCCCTAATTCTCTGCATTGCATCTTTTAGAAAATTAGGGCTCTTTCCACTTCTGGAAATGGCCTCTCTCACTTGCCATCACTATTAGAACTTTTGGGTTCAAATTTATCCAGGTAAACAAAAGAGTGTTTTGGCCAGGTTGATTTTCAACATCTTTCATCAAGACCACACCTTTGTTTCTTCCATTAAGACAAAGATTGCCTCCTCCACCCCACCTATAGCTGGGACTCATCTGCATCTAACCAAGTCTCCAGGGCTTTGATCATAAGCCTTTTATCTTCATCCACCTGTATTATTGTCCATCACTCCAAAATCTTATTATTCTCTTTAGGACACAGAACTGTGCCACTTGAGTAGATGGGAATGTCTCCATCAGATGTGGTGTTAGGCAATGCAGAGGTGCACATAAATCCCAGTATCTTCCTTGAAGACCAAACTTGCCCTGTATTCTTGGGCTTCCCAGTCATCTCTGAAAGCCAGAGGAGGCAGCATGACCTTCCCTTTGAGGCAGAGCAGGGAACAAGGAGAGAGGTCAATGGAGGCCCAGAAATGGGCAAAATGTGTATGATTAGGAAAGGATAAAATGGGGCAGAGGGGTCTTCAAAGGAGACACCCAGGTCTGGTATAGAAAAAGGTACTTGAAGAGAGTATTGAGAGTCTGCTTCCATGTTTTCTAATTCAAAATACTATTGTCTTTCAGAATTTGCCATGTTCCAGAAATGTTTTTAGGTGCTTGGTGTGAATATTTCAAAGAAATAATGCAGACCACTCATGAATACAAAAAAAGAGAAAGAAAGAAGAAAAAATTTCAAGCTATTTGAAGTTTATGAGAGACCTGGTTGAAACAAAAAGAAAAATTGCATCTGCAGAAGTTCACTGATTCACATGAATCATTCTTACTAGAGTAATTAAAAATTGCAGTCAGATCTAGCCATGTCTGATTCTTTGCTTCAAGGATACATTGTGATATTAAATCCATCACATATAAACTATATAACCTTCCTCCATATCTTGTCACCTATAGCATTTTTCTCATTTTTCACTTAAATTTATTCAAATGACACCTAAAACATAAATACTATATCTATTAATGGAGTAAATAGATCTCTTGATGCATGTGTATATTGGGTTATCTTATTTCCTCAAACACCATTCATTTATCTTTGTGAAAAATTCCATAAAGTTCTCTTCTTACTTTTTGAGGAAAAGTTCATTCTTGTTAACTATAGTCACCACCTGTACAATGGTGCACCAGAATTTCTTATTCCTAGGTAAAACCTATAACTGATTGATCAATCTGTAGCTATCCATTTCTAACCCCTACACTTCCTAGCTATGGTTATTACAATTCTAGTCTAAACTACTAAACTTTTATGAGGTCAACTCTTTCAGATTTTACATACAGTGAAATTAGAAGACCTTTGTTCTTCTTCACACTTCTTCTATTTCACTTAACCTAGTGATCTTCAAGTCCATGCTGTAGCAAATGAAAATATTTCATTCTTTTTTTCTTTTTTTGGCTAAAAACTATTCCATTATGTAAATGTACTTCATTGTATCAATTTATTATTTGATGGACACTTAGATTGTTTCCCTTTATTAGCTACTGTCTGTAGTGCTACCAAAACATGGCAGTACAGGGGTCTCTTCAACATCCTGAATTAGAAATATGCTCAGGTAAGGACCATTGTAATTTATGGTAACTTTAGGGGGTGTCTGATAATATCTTTATATTTATTTGTTTATTAAAGACAGATTTTCTGTGTTTTATAATTTTAATTGGTAGATTTTTTTCTTCAATTCTATGAAAATTTCATGGCGCTCACTTCTGTTCTACATGTTTCCTGTTGGGAAGTTAATTGTCAGGTGAATTAGCATACCCTATGTGTTCTCTGTGTCTTTATTCTTAATTCTTTGAGACTCTTTATATTTCATCTTTGAGATCTGTATTATAATATGTAATGATAAGAGCTCAAGGATCCAGGTCAAATTTGGATGCCCATTAAACACTCAATTCAACTAGGAAAAGTAGGGCCACTTTCTTTTCTGTTCTTTGAAAAGTGCTACAAACAGAGTGTGTGTACCAATTTATATGTAATCCTAAGAGTAAGAAATTAAAGAAACAAAATTATGAAGATTGATTTTAAGTTGAAGTGGTCTACAAAAACATATCTTGTCAAGTAAGAGAGATGAGAAGGAAAAAGATAGTATTAGAGTTTTACAGGACAAGAATAAATGAAGCACATCATTCACTGCTATCCCTGAATCAGATCCAGGGAAGGGACCTCTTAGTCCTCTCTGGACAATTATTCTCATATCCCTCCAGGAATCAGACATTACTTCCTGGAACTTTCCATTCTCTTAGGTAATGGAGAATGCACTGACCATACCTGAGCAGATGACTCCTGCATCTTCAAAGTGCTCACAATTATTCTTTCCCCAGCCCAGGGAAGGGCAATTCCACAAGTAATCCTCCTCTCCTGTGCACGCCAGCTCTGTCAGCCAGATGGGCCCCGATCCCTCTCCAAATTGTGCATAGAGCAAGGCATTGATGGCTTCTCCACAGCCCAGCTGTCTGCACACCACGCGGGCATCGTTCAGGTCCCAGCTGTCATGAGAGACAGTGCCCCAGGAATGCTGGTGAAGGATCTCCACTCTGCCTGCACAGCGACTGCTACCATTCACCAGGCGGAGCTGTGGGCTCTCTGAGGGGAAAGAATCATGTCAATGGTTGTATTTACAAAGAGAATGAGAAGGGTTCTTTTTAGGGGAAGGCAGGGTCGGGGGCGGTACCTGGGATTGAATTTAGGGGCACTTGATCACTGAGCCATATCCTCAGTTCTATTTTATATTTTATTTAGAGACAGGTTTTCACTGGGTTGCTTAAGGCTTCGCTTTTGCTGAGGCTGACTTTGAATTCACAATCGTTGTGCCTCATTTTCTTAGCAGCTGGGATTACAGGCATGTGCCACCGCACTTATTGAGAAGTGTTCTTTATTCATGTAGTAATCCCTCCCTCCACGAAGCAGTTGGCAGATCTATTTTCAGATGCAGAGCTTGCTGTGTTAGACATGGAATCATTTATTATACTAGGGCAGCAGGTAAGTCTCAGTTTCTACCATAACATGGGAGAATTAATTGGGAAAGAATAAGAAATGGAATTAAAAACAATGTAATCAAGTGAGTAGTGTCAGGTAGATGTTATTATGTAGATCTGATCAGACTAAAACTTTCTGTTGGTAGAGTTATGCATATGATGTGACAAAGCAATTTGAGAAATGCCAAGATTCCTGTTTTAAGTAGATAACAGTGTCTTTTCTGAATGATTTCTGAGAGTTACTGTAATGGGCGGGTATCTGAATTGGCTTCTTATAAAGCACATATATATTAGTGCTTGTGGCCAGAGAGTTGAAATGATGGCTGTACAAGGGATGAGATCATCAGAAGACTCAGGTGACATCCATGAATTCAGGGAAAAAAATGTAATTATATAGGCATTAAGACTAAAAAATGAATGGATTATAAGACAAACCATAGTTAAATCATAGTCATGTTTCACTAATGATTCTAGGCTTCATAGTTGAAATATGGATATTTAATTTCAAATTTGTGTTCATTTTAGGTAGATTGGGCAACCTTCAGTAATAAATGATGTCAGAAGTTGACATTGCCAAATGCCTCTAGGAACCATAGAATGCTACTTTCCCCCCAAATATATGTAATCTGTGGTTAAACTTCCTGCCAGGAGTTCTTAATGAGGAGTCAAGTAGCAGAATAAAAGTATACTTTTGTGACTCTGTGAGTGACAAGAGTCAGGGAACACAGGGAAAACTCTATTTTGAGAACAGAAAGAGAAAGAACACTGGAAGCCAATAAAGAAATGATGAGAAATGTTAATGATAAGGAGAAGAATTAAGGCAGCTCAGAGAAAAATACAAAGTAATTTTCAAATTCAACTCCAGCTTTCTTACCTTTTCTTGTAAGAAACACATGGTTCTTACAAGCTTTAGATCAAGTTTGGGAAGTTGTTTTGAGAGAGACTCCTTTTATTTACAGTAAATATGAATGGCATTTATTCCTTTACTGACAGTGACAGCTAGTATCCATGTAAGCTCCATAATAATAACATTATCCATTGGCTGCTACTATTTTTAGGTCATTTACTGAGTAGTTTATGTGTATTCCCTAAGATATAAATTCTCCCTTTGTCTCCAGTTACAATTATAAAAATCAAATATGAAAAACTTAAAAGTGCATGCAACTAGTTCCAGCTAGGTTTAGTATAGATTAATCTACTTGGGAATTCAGTCCTTTAAGCACTGCATTGTATTATTATTATTTTGATTATTATTGCATTTATATAGCTGATTTATGTTTATGTTGTACGTACTCTGTTATTTATTTTGTTCTTTCTGAGTCATGATGATGATTAAGCCAAGAACTGCAAACATGTTGGGTGTGCTTTGCTACTGAGCTACACCTCCAGCCACTTGAGTGAGGTTGTGCCTTATTGTAACTGTGACCTAGCTCTGTTCAAGCATTGGTTGATGTTATGGTTTGGATGTAAGGTGTCTCCAAAAAGCTCCTGATGAGGCAATGCAAGAAGTTTTAGAGGAGAAACAATTGGGCTATGAGAGTCTTAACCCAATCAGTGAATTAATCCCAACATGGGAGTACCTGAGTGGTAATAATATTCTTGTCTTTCACTGACAGAGGAGATCAGGGAGTTGAGTGTACTTGGAGGGGGAGGATTATAATGGGACATCATGTTGTGCAATCAGGGTAAGAGGAACATGTGCAATCAAGAGGAGAGTGGAAAACTAAAAAATTGGTAAGGGAAAACATTTTAAATCTGAATGAGGATGAAATATCTGGAAAAGGAACATCAAGAATATGTGTCATAGAAGGAGAGTCAATAGTCAGAGAAGGAATAATGTCATCAAGATCTCAAGCTGGACAGTTAGTGATGGACAATAGTGTGGCCATAAAGCAGATGGGGTGTAAGTGGAAAGCTTCCAAGGGAGAAAATCAGGAATGGAAAGGCCAGGATGTTATCTCAGTTTTATTCAAGGATGCTGGCAGCACCAGGAACAGGAGACAGAGGAGCCTGGTGAGCCTGGTACTGCAGCCTTCCTGGATGAGGGGGAGTGACCAGGCTGGAGAGTGACACCAATTGAAGTGGTAGCTGGTGCTACCTCATAGGGCAAATTTCAAGTAGGTGGACATGGAGAAAAAGAAAGAAAATTATTTAAAATAATAAAATAAAGCAGGAATATTTTTATTCTAATACTTGGCCCAAAAATATCCTGTTGAAAGGGAAGCACAGAGCCTCTAAATGACAAGAATATCATTGTTTTCAGAAGACAGCCAGGTTTTTATTAAAACACAAAACTGAAGTGAACGTTATAGGTTTTAATTAGTTGGAAGATAATAGACTCCAATTTGCAACAGGCACCATGGAATGTTTTCTGAGAGAGGGATGAAGTGGGCATGTTAGTTTTCAGTAACATATGGAAAAAGCCTCATAGGAGAGAGTACTGGGAATGTGAAGAGATCAATTCAAGAGGAAAATAAGGAGAGACCAGGCCCCTCATCTCATAGCACTTCCCCACGATGTGGCAGATGAAATGGCTAACAAATACCTTTTCAACAAGATTGCTATTGGGGCCATGCCTTAGAGACGCCTTTAGCTCTTCTTACCCATCCAGGTAATCAGGTATCCCTCTCCCCACACTCTTCCTGCTTTGCTCATGATGGAATTTATCAGTACCTCAAGGCTGCCATGCTCCTACTATCTCAGAATTTACACTGAACAAATGCTCTATATTCTTCCTTCATAGGACCTTATTTAGGTCTCCTTATTTAGTTTTCAAGTTAAATATCATTTACCTCTTCCTCAATGAATATTTGCACAGCATGATTCATGCCTTCTTGACTCTCAAATTTATGTGTGGTTGTGTAGTCACACTAGAGTGCAAACTCCAGAGAGTATGTGCAATATTTTCTTCTTTTATCTCTCCTCCTGCCTGGAATTAAGTTTCTACCTAGAAATCACTCAATTACTTATCATCAACAAACTAATTAGTAGAGAATTTCAGAGCAAACAGCCCATTTTATCGAATTCCCCAAGTTGCTACTCAATTGAAAGTGTGAGGAAGATGAAGTGTTTACTCCTAATCTCAATTTCCTCATCAGAAATATGTAAAGGTTCTGTGTTTGGGAATGGGGTCCCTGATGACTGCATGGCTGTTTAATGCTTGGTGCCTAGGAAAATTTCTATGCAAAGGCATAGGATGCCCAGTTGCTATAGTAATGCCCTCCATGCTAGACTCAGCTTCGACTGTAATTTTAGGCACATAGTTCCTGGGAATAGAAGAACCTGTTTGCTAGATAACTATAATGTTTCACCAAGCTCTGGTGCTCCTGGTGCTGCCCACCAAACAGTAACTTCAGACAATGGACTTTCTTGAGAATTGCATAAAGTTCTTAATATTGCATATTTGTAACTATGAAATGTAACCCCAGAATAAGCAACCTTACTGATACTCTAAACAATAAAGTGGTTATGGTACTAATTACCTAATATAACCATTGGTATAAATAATGGTCACTTGGACAAGGAGCTACTCTGCTACCTTCCCTGTCTCTGTACATTGACTCTGTTTCCTGTTATTATTATTCCTTACAACTGGTGACCAACATTGGGGTATGAGAAGAGTTCTCTCCCATAAAAGCCTCTGAATTTACAGAGAGTTTGGGACAACATAATCCACCTTAATAGAAACCCTTCCAGATGTTGACAGGTAATGGGGGAAAGGAGTAGCTTACTTATGCCTGGATTAGACTTTTGATGCAAGCGTCACTTTCAATGGTTGGTATCAATCCGTAATCAGTAGGCTATGGCTAATGCTCTATCTCTGTCTGACACTCAGCCATGTCATCAGGCCAAACTTTCTTTCCTTCTTAGTAGGGCTCTACATATCATAAATAATACTGATCTTACTGTCTTGCTGACAGAAATAAGCTCTTATTGTCCTTTTTATCCAGAAAGTGGACACTAAATTTGAAAGACTGGGAGCAAATAGGTGAAACGTTACATGAGAAGCCACAAACTACTTTTCCTGTGCTTCAAACTTGGTTTCTTTGTAGAGATGCAATTGATAAAACCTCTGTTTTTCAACCTGTCTGCTCTTCTCCTTCTGTGCCTGGCTATGTGGCCCCTTTAGATCCTCCCCCACTTCCCCCTCAGCGGTGGCACAGCCCTGGCAACAACGCTCTGCCCGGAGCTGTCCTGGAGCCCCACACATAAGACTTCTCTAACTAATTCACTGCCATTGCCTCGATGGCCTGATGTGGCAGCTGCCCTACCCCCAGCTAGATCTCAGTTAATTGAGTGTTTAGACAAGATGTGGAGGAAGGGGAGTCTCATAACTTACCTGTCTGTCCTATTAAGATAAATTCTGCTAACCATCCTAAATATGACCTGTTACCTTTTGCTATATTTAGAGTTACAACCTTTAATTAAAAGGGAAAATACAAGGTTAGACTCTACTGTCATTGAAACATATTTATCAGTTACTATATGTAGACTTAAATTAATTCTTTGTTTAAATAGGAAGTCAATTACAGGGTTATTGAACACAAATACTAGTGTCATGGTTATAAATACTTTTATGGTATGGCTTTATGCATGGCCTCAGGAGGCCCTGGAGCAAAGGAAACAAAAATAAAGTGTCCAAAAGCTCCCTGTGGCTACAATGCTCTATCCTTTCCAATCCACAACAAATCATTACTTATATTTAACCATATGTAGAAACTGTTACAAGATTTATAAGATTTAAAACAAAAAAATAAAAGAAAAAAGAGAGCCCTAATATTCAGAGTATACAAAGAACTCAAAAAATTAGACAATAAGATAACAAATAACCCAATCAACAAATGGGCCAAGGACCTGAACAGACACTTCTCAGAGGAGGACATACAATCAATCAACAAGTACATGAAAAAATGCTCACCATCTCCAGTAGTCAGAGAAATGCAAATCAAAACCACTCTAAGATACCATCTCACTCCAGTAAGATTGGCAGCCATTATGAAGTCAAACAACAACAAGTGCTGGCAAGGATGTGGGGAAAAGGGTACTCTTGTACATTGCTGGTGGGACTGCAAAATGGTGTGGCCAATTTGGAAAGCAGTATGGAGATTCCTGGGAAAGCTGGGAATGGAACCACCATTTGACTCAGCTATTGCCCTTCTCGGACTATTCCCTGAAGACCTTAAAAGAGCATACTACAGGGATACTTCCACAATGATGTTCACAGCAGCACAATTCACAATTGCTAGACTGTAGAACCAACCCAGATGCCCTTCAATAGATGAATGGATAAAAAAATGTGGCATTTATACACCATGGAATATTATGCAGCACTAAAAAATGACAGAATCATGGAATTTGCAGGGAAATGGATGGCACTAGAGCAGATTATGCTTAGTGAAGCTAGCCAATCCCTAAAAAAACAAATACCAAATGTCTTCTTTGATATAATGAGAGCAATTAAGAACAGAGCAGGGAGGAAGACCAGGAAGAAAAGATTAACATTAAACAGAGACATGAGATGAGAGGGAAAGGGAGAGAAAAGGGAAATGGCATGGAAATGGAGGGTGACCCTCACTGCTATACAAAATTACATATAAGAGGTTGTGAGGGGAATGGGAAAATAAACAAGGAGAGAAATGATTTACAGTAGATGGGGTACAGAGAGAAGATGGGAGGGGGGAGGGGGGATAGTAGAGGATAGGAAAGGTAGCATAATACAACAGTTACTAATAGGGCATTATGTAAAAATGTGGATGTGTAACTGATGTGATTCTGCAATCTGTATTTGGGGTAAAAATGGGAGTTCATAACCCACTTCAATCTAATGTATGAAATATGATATGTCAAGAGCTTTGTAATGTTTTGAACAACCAATAAAAAAAGAAAAAAAAGAAAAAATAACTCTCCACTAAGTATGTAAACTATAACACCATGCTTTAAAAAGTTATAAAAAGAAAAAATGGTTACAACAGTTTTACTTATCTTATAACTTCCACTGGATCTATAAAATTCCTATCCTTATATTTAAAATGTAAATTATACGATCTACAAGATTTACTAGTCTTATTAAAAAAGCAGTTAAGACAAAGAGGAAAAAGTGTCTCTTTTAAATCCAAACTGCATGGCTGACTGTCTTATCTATGTTCAGCTTGCTTTCTTGACTAGTTCCTCCCTAATATTACAGCACAGAACGATAAAAGTAGAAACATTCTAAATGTGCAAGCTTTCTTTTTTGAAAAAAGATTTTCCTAAAAATTTCACAGGCTTCCAACTGGCTTTTATCTGAGCTAAAATTACACTCTGATCTGATAAAAAAGTTTATATTATGACAATGTAAGTTTTTAAGTATTCTATGTAAGTTGATGTAGTTTTCTGATCAGTCTTGTTTTATCTAACTATAAAGGTTTTTACATTCCGTCTTTATCCAAAGACCAATTTCTCCAGAGTTAAGTCTCAAATAAATTCAAAATATTTAAAATAAATTCTTAGAAGGATATAAATATGGTGACATTGGGAATGGATCTGAAAGCCCCCACAAATAGCTGGATATCTGAAACCATTGATTTCAGTGTCCATCATAGCTGTTAGATTTTGCCCCTAGCATTTCCTATTACACAGGCCTACGCTATGTCTGTATATTATGTACCTGATATCAAAATTGACATTTAGACAAATGAACGCTCATAAGTAAAAATTTAAATAAAAAATGGGTCCAAATAACTTAATTTAAATCAAGTAATCAGATAAAAAATTAGATGTCCTTAAGATTCTGACTTATGGGTTTTTCTAGGTGACCAAACAATAAAGTCTTAATTCCCCCAAATATCTAAAATATAATATAATATCCATTATTTTTAAATTTTTCTTAAACAAAACAGGGATTATTGATACAATTAATCATGTTTTTCTTATGCTTTTATGTTATAATTAAAATAAGTATATTAAACAATATAAATGAGATTAATCTTCATAAGTATAGTTTCTTAAATACATAAATTAAAAATTACAGCTGATGCGAAACTTATCTCTCATTTTTTCCAGTTGTTAAAAAATCAGGACGCTGCCTCCTTTCTTTATTTAACACTTTCTTTAAAACAGGCTTTACAAAAAATTAAGAAGGATTATCAACAATAATGTTGGATCAAATTTCAATATCTAATGTGCCATTGTCATTGATAGTCTTTGTTAAAAATACCTTATGCTTTTACAACAGTAGTTATTATTATAACCAAAATTATATACATAAAAGTATTTTTATATATATAAATAATTATATTGTCCTCATTTTTCAGGCTCTAATATTTTATCTCTTTCTGTTATGTATGCTCAATTAATTACTGATTGTCATATTGAAATTTTATCCTTAACAGACACGGAGATTTCCAAGATGTTGCTATGCTACCACACAAGTCACTCAGCTGCTAACTATCCACAGCACAACACCATCACCGAGATCCCCGACCTCACCAGCCTCCTCCCATCTCTCCAGATACCCCAGTGCTGAAAGCAGACTTCTGCCATCTTGACTCAACATTCTCATAATTTAGCTGGGGGAAATTCCCAGATTGTATCTCCAGCAGCCAGGTACCAGGTTTCCAACCTTCCCCCTGGGAGCCCTGGGTGAGAGTTTCCTCAATTGGAAACTGCTAAGGGAGAGGGAGATGGGGCTAAAGATTGGAGCCTAACAGAGAGACCAGGAACTTCTCCAGGCAAGAAGGGAGATAGTACCAGACACTCAAGTCATATGAGTGAGTGGTCCAAAGAAGAGACCCATGAGGTGCAGTCTTTCTGCAGGGACTGTTTGTGCCACTCTCTGCATCCAGGCACCTGCTCCAGGACAAGTCTTCCCACCCTGGTTACCTCCACTATCCAGAAGGCAGAGACACCAGCTTACAACAGAAAAGCCCACCTACTGGATGAGAAGAGAAGCAAGATCTTCTAAAGCTACCTACAACCCTGGCTTCCTCCAAGTTTTTTGTTTTTGTTTGTTTGTTTGGTTGGTTGGTTTCTTCTACCCCTCCATCTTCTGCCCCTCAAATGCCCAACATATGTGAAACCAAGAACTTTGCATGAAATAGGACTTTGAGGACTGAGTCATCTGAATAATATAGTATAGAGGTGTTGCATATGCCCTTTTCTCTTTTCCTTTTTGTTCTTTCAATTTCCCTCATCAAAATTTTACTATTTTAACATCTGTATTTTTCTAAATACATATTTGTGTTTGTTTTATGTACTCTACTGTCATCCCACATAATTGCCTACCCTAAATTACTTTTTGTCTATTCTCTTGCTACTAACCTTCTTCACTAGATTTCTCCTTCATACTTCCTAAGATATATTGACTCTGTATCCTCACATCCTACCTTCTCAGCATATTGTCCTAAGTCCCACCCACAGGTTATTGTCCACTGTCAGAAACTGTAAACCTTTTAACAAAACTACTGATTCTATTTTAGATAATAATTGAATTCAACATTTCTGTACATCAAGACTAAATTGTAAATGTCTTAATAACAACAAATTGTTCATAGGAATTATATTGCTGATATTGGGATCTGTTAACATTGTCCTTCCCCACAAAGGAGAAGTCTTGGAACCCTACAAGAGCACTAAAAACCTATAGCATAAAAACAATAACATTCTAGACCCACAGAGCTGGAAAGGAAGGCACATGAACAACATGAAAAGACAAGGAAAAAAAATGCTTCAAACAAATGAAGACGCCACATCATTAGAAGCCACAGCACAAGAAAATACAGAGAAGGAGTTTAGGATGTACATGGTTAAGATGTTCTGTGAACTCAAGGAAGATATAAGAGCAAATACAGGCAGTGAAAGATCATTTCGACAAGGAGCTACATAAAAAAATACAGGAAGCAAAAGATCACCTCAACAGGGAGATAGAGATTCTAAAGAATAAACAAACCAAAAACAATCACAAATTCTTGAAATGTAAGAAATAATATACCCAGTTAAAAGCTCAAATGAGAATATCACCAACATAGTAAACCACTTGGAAGATAGAACATCAGACAATGAAGACAAAATATATAATCTTGAAAAGAATATAGACCACACAGTGATAATGATAAGAAACCATGAACAGAACATTCAAGAAATATTGGATAGCATAAAAGACCAAATTTAAGAGTTATTGGGATAGAGAAAGGCATAAAGGTCCAAACCAAAGGAATGAACAATATATTCAATGAAATAATGTCAGAATTTTTTTTAAAAAAATGAAGAATGAATTGGAAATCCAAATTCTAGAAGCCTACAGGATGCTTAATGTATAAAATCACAACAGATCCACACCAAGGCACATTATAATGAAAAGCCCAACATAAAGAATAAGGAGAGAATTTTAAAAGCCACAAGAGAAAGGAATCAGATTACATATAGGGGGAAACCAATTAGGATAACAGTAGATTTTTCAACAGAGACCCTGAAAGCTAGAATATCCTGGAACAACATATATCAAGCTCTAAAAGAAATGGGTGCCAACCAAGAATCTTGTATCCAGCAAAATTAAACTTTAGATTTGAAGATGAAATAAAACCCTTTCATGATAAACAAAAGTTAAAAGAATTTATAGCTAGAAAACTGACACTACAAAACTTTGGGAAAATACTCCAAGAAGAGGAAACAAAAAACATAAATGAAAGTCAGCAGAGGGAATATTTACTTTTACCCTAAAGAAAAATACTAATCAAAKAAGAAAATTAAGTCAAGGTAAATAGCAAAACTAAACAAAAATGGCTGGAAATACAATCCAGGTCTGAATAGTAATCCTGAATGTTAATGGCTTAAACTCACTAATCAAAAGACATAGACTAGCAAATTGGATTTAAAAAAGACCCAACAATAGGCTGCCTCCAGGAGACTTATCTGATAGGCAAAGACATACACAAACTGAAGGTGAAAGGTTGGGACAAATCATACCACTCACACAGACTGCAGAAGCAAGCAGGGGTTTCCATCCTCATATCAAATAAAGTAGACTTCAAGCCAAAGTTAATAAAAAAGAGATAAAAATAATGGACATTATATACTGCTCAAGGGAACCGTACACCAACAAGACATAACAATCATAAATATATATGCCCCAAATAATGCTGCAGCTATGTTCATCAAGCAAATTCTTCTCAAGTTTTAGAATCAAATTGAACACAACACAATAATTTTGAGCGACACTAATACACCTCTCTCATGACTGGATAGATCTTCAAAACAAAAGTTGAATAAAGAATCTATAGAACTCAATAATATAATCAATAACTTAGACTTAACTGACATATATAGAATACTACAACCTGCATCAAGCAGATATACTTTCTTCTCAGCAGCACATGAATCCTTCTCTAAATAGACCATATACTATGCCAAAAAGAAACTCTTAGCAAATACAAAAAAAGTAGAGATACTACCATGGATTAATATTATCAAAATTAATATTATCAGATCATAATGGAATGAAATTGGAAATCATCCACAAAATAAAAAATAAAAATTACTCCAACACTTGGATACTAAACAATATGCTACTGAATGAACAATGGGTTGCAGAAGACATCAAAGAGGAGATTAAAAAAATATTAGATGTAAATGAGAACATAGACAGCACATATCAAAATCTCTCCAACACTATGAAAGCAACTCTAAGATGATAGTTCATTGCATGGATTTCATTCCTTAAAAGAAGAAAAAGTAAACAAATAAATGACCTCACATTACATCTCAAAACCCTAGAAAAAGAAGAACAAATCAACAGAAAAACCAATAGAAGGCAAGAAATAACTAAAATAAGAGCTAAAATCAATGAAATTGAAACAAAAGAAACAATTGAAAAAATTGAGAAAACAAAAAGTAGGTTCTTTGAAAAATTAAATAAAATTGAAAGACCCTTAGCTACACTAGCGATGAGAAGGAGAGAAAGAACTCAAATTACCAGCATACATAATGAAAAAGTTAATATCACAACAGACACTACAGAAATCAGAGGATAATTAGAAATTATTCTGAAAACTTATATTCCAATAAAAAATAAGAAAGTGAAGGCATTGACAAATTTTTTAAGTCATACAACTTGCCCAGAATGAATCAGGAAGATATACACAATTTAAACAGACCAATATCAAGTGATTAAATAGAAGATGCCATCAGAAGCCTATCAACCAAGAAAATTCCAGGACTGGATGGTTACACAGTTGAGATCCACAAGGCCTTTAAAGAAGTACTAATACCAATATTCTTCCATTTATTTCAGGAAATAGAAAAAGAGGCAGCACTTCCAAACTCATACTATGAGGCCAATATCACCCTGATTCCAAAACCAGACAAAACCAAAACCATTCCAAAACTAAGACAAAGACACATCAAAGAAAGAAAACTTCAGACCAATATCTCTAATGAACAACTTTATAGTAGAGGAAGAATTGTAAATATGGGAGATAGAGTTTTCTCTATCTCTGCTGCAGAAGAACCGGGGGGTGACGAACAATTTGTGTACCTTGATACAGCAGGAGTGGGAGCCTTTTATTGTAGGACAGGAGGGTGTATATACATTCCACACAGCTTATCTTAATTAACATAAACTAGATATAGCAGTCAACCAATAAGGAATCTCCACACTTAATGACTCACTGGCACCACCTCACAAACCACTCCTTCTGGCAAAATCCCAGGCACCATCCCTACTTGTTTACAGACTCTAACAATCTCCAGCAATTAGAGAAATGCAAATCAAAACTACTCTAAGATACCATATCACTCCAGTAAGAATGGCAGTTATCAAGAATACAAACAACAATAAGTGTTGGAGAGGATGTGGGGAAAAGTCACACTCATCATTGTTGGTGGGCCTGCAAATCAGTGCAGCCAATCTGGAAAGCAGTATGGAGATTCCTTGGAAAACTGAGAATGGAGCCATCATTTGACCCAGCTATCGCTCTCCTTGGTCTATACCCAAAGGACTTAAAAACAGCATACTACAGGGACACCGCCACATCAATGTTTATAGCAGCACAATTCACCATAGCAAAACTGTGGAACCAACCTAGATGTCCTTCAGTAGATGAATGGATTTTAAAAATGTGGCATATGTACACAATGGAATATTACTCAGCAATAAAAGGGAATAAAATCATGGCATTTGCACGCAAATGGATGCAGTTGGAGAAGATAATGCTAAGTGAAGATAGCCAATACCAAAAAATCAAATGCCAAAAGTTTTCTCTGATATGAGGTGACTGATTCATAGTTGGCTAGGGAGAAGGAGCATGAGAAGAATAGACAAACTCTAGATAGGGCAGAGTGGTGGGAGGGAAAAGAAGGGGGCAGGGGGTTAGCAATGATGGAGTAATGTGATGGACATCATTATCTAAAGTACATGTATAAAGATGTGAATTGGTGTGAACATAACCTTATATACAGAGATATGAAATATTTTTTATATGTGTAATAAGAATTGTTATGCATTCTGCTGTCATGTATTTAAAAAGTAAAACCAATTAAAACAAAGACAAAAAACAGACATAGACATTCATGTTTTATGCCTTTCTTATGAGAAACTCTATCTCCCATATTTACAATTCTTCCTCTACTATAAAGTTGCACTAACAATTTTTTAACACCAATTAATTTTCACATGCCTCATGATAGACAATTATCTTTGTTATATCAGGTTATACATTTCCCGTCTTCCTTAATTTCTACCATTCCTCTTATAAATGGGTTAAAGGTGTGCACAAATGCCGCAGTCCAGCTGGGCACAAATAACCGGGAGGTGACAAGCAACTTGAAGGTTGATACGGGAACTACTTTATTGCAAGTGAACTCAGCAGGAACTGAGCGAGAACCCAAAGTAGTGGGCACCCAAGGTAGCAGGAGCTGCTTCTCTGCTGGAAAGCAGAGGTATATATACCCAACTAATTACACACAGCTTAACACAATTAACATCATCTAGATACAGCAGTCAGCCAATAAGGAATCCTCATCATCTAAATGGCTCACTGGCAGTTGCTTTACAAACCACTCCTCCTGTCAATCTGCCAGGCGACATCTTGACTTGATTTGCATCCCCAACACACAAATAGGGGTAAACAATGAGGAGTAATATCTGTTCTTATTAATGATAAATGGACTGACTATTATATCCTACTTCAGATCTCTCTATAGCAACCTGTTTTTAACTACCATTATTCTGGCACAAAGACTATTTTCTACTACTTTAAACATTATTACAGATTCTCGACAGGCATAGGACAAACACATAGAAATAGACAGTAGTAATAGATATAACTAAATATGTTCCTCATATTTTTATAGCTTATATTTTTATATCCTCATTTGGATTTCAACTTACTATCTCTTTTTTAACCTTTTAAACTATTTTGTAGCATCATATATCTCCTATCTTCCTCTCTCATATATGCAGCCATACCAAGATGCCTTTGATAGAATGTAATGCTCATACAGGTAAAATTGTGAAATCTCTTTGTCCTTTATTTTTAGATGGTGTGAAATCCCATGGATTTTTTTCATCAAAATGCTAAATCACTAATGAAAATGTTTTTGCATATCTTCTTAATTGGTTCATGTTATAATCAACAAATTTCAAGCCCCTGTGTGAAAATCTTAAAATCCACACGGCCTACGTTCTAATATATTTTGCCAAATGGTTGTTACTCATTTCCCTCCTTTTCATCCTTACTCCTTTCTTCGTATTTTTATTGACATTCATTCATTCTGGGTTCATTTGGGCTAGTGCCCAAAGGTCTGATGAGATATCTTCTTGAATTTCTCATTTATTACTTTGTTTTGGCATCATGGGCAAGCCTATTCATTTAAAAATGGATAATGCCTCTACATATACATCTCATGCTTTTACACAATTTTGTAACCAATAAAATATAATTTTAAATTATAAAATTGCTCATAATCCTACCGGCCAGGCTTTGGTTAAACAAGAACATCATATTCTTAAAACTTGCCTTTTGAAGTAAAACAAAAATGGGTATCTAGCTTCCCTCATATTTATAATGCTTTAAATACTGTTTTATTAACAGTTAATGCACTCAACATGCAATATAAATTTATACTCACAATTGATCATCTGCTTTGGATAGACTTCTTATTCCCAAACAGCCATTAGCAAACATTTATGTAATATACAGGTTTTTACCAGACTCAGGATGACAAGACCCTATGCCTCTGATCACTTGGGGAAAAAGATACACTGCTATGATTCCACCAACAGGTCTAAACTCACACAAAACTCTGTAAATACTTTGGTTTTAAGAATGATGTTATTCTGTTGTTGTACCCCAGCCATGAAATTTCAGTATAGTCAGACTCCTTGACTTCTAAAACCCATTACAATATCTGGGTTCATTTGGCTAAAATTGTTATATACCTGCAAAAATGTCTCACGGTACCCATTGTTGTCTTAGCAGACTGTGTTCTTACCATCCCTGCAGGATATAAAAGGCCACCATCCTGCACAATGTATCCATAAAGGTCTATTCCCCTTGATAAAAAACTGATGATTCAGTAAGCCTTCTCTGTAAGGCAAAATTTGACACTGACATTTTCCCTAGTGGATATCCCTGGACCAGCTGCCACGGCTTACAAAACTACTATAAAACTGGTCTGTGCTATGGTAAAAAATACTAATCATACCTCTATGGCAATTAATATGCATAATGAAGAACAAAAACAAATTGTCAATCCATACTTGACAATCAGGCTGAAATTGATTATTTGTTATTATTATATCACAAAGGTGTCAGGAGTTTAATAATATGTGTTGCTTTAACTTAAATGATAACAGTAAATTCTATTTCAAAGGAGTTAGACTACTTTAATGATATCATTGATGAGGTCTGACAAGATGATGGAGGTTTAGACTTATTGGATTGGATAACTACATGGTTACCCAACTTTTCTTGGTCAAACAATTATTCATAGGTGGATGTTTACTAAAACTGGGATTTTTATGTTGTGCTTGCTGTTGTCAAGGCCTACCCTATTTTTTGCCTCCACCAGCATTAAAAAGAAAACTATTATGCATTTGAGAGGACTTAAAAGACAGCAAAGGTGATCTTTAGGGTTTCTGTGTTTGGGATTGGGGTTCCTGATGACTGCATGACTGTGGCATGCTTGGTGCCTAGGAAAGTTTCTGTGCAAAGGAAGAGGATTCCCAGCTGCTATAGTAATGCCCTCCATGCTAGACTCTTATCAGCTTTGACTGTAATCTTAGTTAGTTGCTGGGAATAGAAGAACTTGTTTGCTAGATAACTACAATGTTATCTAGTGCTACTGGTGCTGCCCACATAACAGTAATTTCAGACAATGGACTAGCTCTTAATATTGTATATTCGTAACTATGAAATGTAACTGCAGAATAAGCAACCTTACTTATACTCTAAACAGTAATGTGGTTATGGTACTAATGACCTAATGTAACCTGTAGGTTTAAATAAATGTGGCCACTTGGACAAAGAGCCACTCTGCTACCTTCCCTGGCTCTGCACCTTGACCCTCTCTTGTCTTTCTTGTTCCTTACCAAAATAAATGATCACAATAATACCTATCAAGAGTAGATTGTGTTGGTGGGAATAAATTAATAGTACATAGCAAGCAATATGTATAACTGTAGTCCAGTCATTCACCCTCTTACTAAAGAAATAAACATCAATTAATATAACTTAAGACTAAATTAGCCAATTGCTTTGAAAGTTTATCAGATTATAATTGCATGCTCCCACATTCTCAATTCAGTCTCTCTGATACTTTTTACATAAATTGCTATCATTGCAAGTTTTCCTCACAACTACCTTTGAAATCAGATTGCAAGACGTGGATAAAGTAATGTCTATGCAGTATCCATTTTGTGGACTTATTTTAACTCATCCATTATCTTTGAATATACAAAACTTTCCTAACAACAACCTACAGACATAGGACAAACACATAAAAATAGACAGTAATAATGACCTGTACATGTGATATGAGCTTCCTCCTCTGAAGAGCAAGATTGGTATCTCCAAGGGTCAGAAGGACACTGCCAGAGAGAGGTATCAGTCTCCCGACAGCGAATTCCATCCACCCAGCGGGGTCTAGAACCTTCTCTAGAAGGAACCCAGAAATCCAGAGTCCTAGTGTCCCCACAGCCAAGCTGTCTGCAGATTATGGACAAGGTCATGGGTTCCATGGGGCTGTGGCAGATACTGCCCCAGGTGTTGTTGTAGAAAACCTCCAGCCACCCAGAACACTCCTGGTCCTGGCTCACCAGCCTGAGGGCCAGGAACTCTGAAATGGAAAAGAGGAAAACAGGGGTCAGTGAGCATTCAGATCTTACTGCTGTTTTTTCTTTATTCCTAAGTAGTGAGTGCTCATTACTGACTCTGCTGAGGAAATGCCCACTAGGTAGAAGACTGGAAGTTTTTTTTTTGTCCCTCTAACCTGTTTTGCTAACTTGTACCTCTCTGTTTCTACACCAATGTAATATTAGCAAATCAATAGGCAGGAATACTATCTTCAGGCTCTGCAGTGAATAAACTCTTTACCTACTCTCTGAATAATCATCTGACAGGCCCTAGAAAAGGATGGATGACACAGATGTGGCACATTAGTAGAGCTCCAAATATGCTCACTCCCTGATCCTCAGAACCTGTGAATATTTTACCTATTGCAAAAGGGCTTTATAGACATCATTAAGAGAAGAATCCTTTCATGGATTATCCTGGATCATCCTGGATTAATAGGTGAGTACAATCTAATCATATCCTTAGACCTGTGTCCTCAAAAGCAGATAATTGTTTCTGGCCCTCATATGAGGGAGATATGTTCATAGAATGATAGAGGATTGCACTGTTATTGGTTTGAAGAAGGAAGGGGCCATGAGACAAGGAATTCAAGCAACATCTAAAATCTCCAAAAAGGAAAGAAATTAGTCTTCCCAGAGCTTTGGCTGGTGCAGCCTGCTCACACCTTGTTTATAGCCCAGACAGACCCAGGTCAGTCTTCTAACCTACACATTGTAAGATGATAAATTTGTGTTGTTTTGGATTATTCAATCTATGGTAAATTGTTACAGTAGAAAAAGAAAACTAATTCAGTGGGTCAAGATGTTGCACCCACATGTCACAGAAGAGTGATGACTGCTTTGAATGGGCACTGTAAGAATGACTGTGACAGGGGACAGTGTTGAAAAGGAAGGAGCAGAAGCTCAGTTACTGCAGCAGGAAATGAAAGGACCTCATTTTCTCCTCTGATGAAATAACAGGAATTRTAAGAGGAGCCTCCTCTTCCTCTGCCCTGTCAACAACTGACCAATCCCTGCCCTAGGGCTCAGACACCATCCTGCAGACTTTCCATTGCCCTCCCCCACTTGTGCACAGTGTGCCCCACAAACCTGAGCAGATGACCCCAGCATCCTCCTTGTGACTGCAGTTGTGTTGTCCCCAGCCCTGGGAAGGGCACTGCCACACATGGGCCTCCTCTCCTGTGCAGTTTACCACATCCAGCCAGATGGGCCCTGATCCCTCTCCAAAGTGAGCAGAGATGGTGGCCTCCAGGGCCACTCCACAACCCAGCTGTCTGCACACAACGTGGGCATCATTCAGGTCCCAGTTGTCATCACAGATGGAGCCCCAGGAGCCCTGCTGCAGGATCTCCACTCTCCCTGCACAGTGACTGTCCCCATCCACCAGGCGGAGCTGTCTGCTGTCTGAGGAGAGACAGGGTCATGTCAGTGGGCATTTCCACAGGGAATGGGGAGGCTCTGTTGTTGGGGGCCTTGCTCACCTGAACAGTTGGCAGTGTGGCCCTCTGAGGCTGCAGAGCCTACTGGGTCAGACCAGGAGTCATTGCATGGGGGCAGCAGCTGGGTCTGGTTTCCTGCCAAATGGGTCCTGAATTAAAGTACATAGTAATCTAGTGATGGCATCTGAGGTGAAAGCTGTTGCAAAGGAGCATTCATTTTCTATCTTCAGAGCTGATCTTCTAATGGAGATTTCTGCTTTTCGTTATGCCAGACTTTTTTGTTTTAAGTGCACATGTAGGAATGAGTTTAGGAAAGTGGAATATATCAGGGCTGCTTGAGAGCATTGCACAGCTTCCAAGATATCAAGACTTTTAGAGTCAAGTTCAGTGAAAAGTGAAAACTAGAATCAGATATTTTCCCCCTTAGGCATTTTTTATTCAAAGTTAGTAGGTAAGATTCTAAAATTTTCAGCATGTTTGCCACATTTTTTTTCTGGGAATACACAAGTATAATTTAGTTTGGACCAAAGAGGTGAAATTCTATTGAACATCCAGAAATGTTGCATCATATTTTTTGAACTGAAAGTCGAGTTTTTCTTTTAGATGGTGTCTATTTCTAACCACTTCAATCATTTTTACTTAAGGTGATCTAACCTAAATAAACTGCATGGAAGAGGCAAAATATCTTTATGAAGGTTTCATATTATGTGCATCTTGGCAGAGAAATAATTAACAAAAATCCAATCAATATTTGAGAGTCATGTGTTATATTAAAATAAAAGTCAGTAGCTATAAGTGAGAACAAGAGGATGAGTCTAACAACACTGTAGATGCTCTTCAAAATAGAAATAGTAAGTGGAAGAACATGGGAAAATACAGAATGAAGCACAGAAACTCAACAGGATAAAAAATGTAATAAGGAATTAAGAGAGATGATGAGATAAACTAACATTCTTAATACTCTATAAGTTTTAGGTACTTTTTAATTTTTTAAAAAAATATGGCTTTTTTAGTTTTACATGATATAAGATTCCATTTTTACACAATCATAGAAGCATGGAATATGTCTTATTCTAGTTATAGTTACATTCTTATTGATGTACAGGATGGAGGGATTCACTGTGATGTTTTCATACGTGCACGTGGGAAAACTATGTCAGATTCTTTCCACTGTTCTTTTCCTATCCCTCTCCTGTTCTTGTATATCCTATTTCTAATCTACTGAATTTCTATTCTTCCCCTCACTGCCCCCTCTCCTTATTGTGGGTTAGTTTCCACATATCAGAGAAAACATTTGACCTTTGGTTTGATAGTACTAAAGTAAAAATTAGAAAATACATAAAGTTGGATATTTAATACACCTGTAGTGTTTAAAAATATCCACAAAATCTGTCACATTCTATCCATTTCTCCTGTCTTCCAATGTGGGCTGACAGTGGTGAGTTGCCTATAAGCAATAAAAGATGGTGACGCCAGAATAGCTTGACTTAGGAAACTAGCTTAGAAAGTCAGGCCTTCTCCTCTTGACTTGGTAGGATGTTTGCTTAATGGGAAATCTACTCTGTAAGGACTATCATGTGGAAGAGAGCATTTGCAGGCTGTTTTGTCAGCAACCCCAGGTGAACTTCAAGCTACCAGCCATGTGAATGAACTGTCCTGGATTCCCAGCTTGGTCAAGTCTTCAGTGACCTCAGCTGCAGATGAGATCAAGTGTAACCTAATGGGACCACACGAGACAACTGCCAAGAGTCCTTGCCAAATTTGTGAATCTACAAATTATGAGAAAAATGAAATGTGATTTTTATTTAAATTGCTATTTTGGGGGGAAATTTTATTATGCAGCAATAGTCACCAAGATTACACTTACTATGAAACACAGAAATCCTACATTCCCATGTTCATTCTGGCACTATTTACAATAGCTATGGTATGTAATCACTCCAAGTGATCACTGAAAGAAAAATTTATGAAGTACAGATGATATATACATACAGTCATAAAGAATGAAATCCTATCATTTGCATTAAAAAAGATGGAATAGAAAACATTATGTTTGGTTAACAAAGCAGATACAGAAAGATGCATCCCCATGTCCTGTATTATATGTGGAAGCAAAAAAGAATCCACTGGAAAATAGGAGATTGCTACAGGCTGTAGATCATATTTATAGTACTAGATGTGTCCAACCTGATCTAAAAATTCTTGTACGTGAATTTAAGACATGTTTTGTGATTAATTTTTCTATCATATATAGTTTACATTTCTACATTAGAAAAAAGTCAAAACCAATTTTCATTTATATATAACAGACTCAAACATTGATTTACAAGTTTTCTTATTACTTACTTATTTTACTTATTGCCATAGCTCAAAATGAGAAATTTTCATAAATTATTGGCTTGTATTCTTCAAAAATATCATTAGCATGGAATACAAAGAAAAATTAAAAGAATTTCATAGTAAGTAAAATAACTAAACATGAGAACTGAATGTAGCACATTACCATACGTTTTTTTCCTGTGAATAACTTATTTAGGAAAATTAATAAGAATTTGAGCAAGACTAATACTATATGATTACATTACAGCAAGGTGGATTTATGGAACTTGCAACAATGCTATGTTTACATATGAAAATATTTTAGGAGTAGCGGGACACATTATATTATCCCCCTAGTCTTAACTATTGATTCAAAAAGATTTGATAAATTTAGGCATAAATGGAGCAGAAGGAGAAAATATGTTAAAATAGTGGCATTTGGAAATTTGGTTAGGGTTACTTGGGAATTTTATACTATCCTTGAAACTTTTTCAGAGTTATCAAATTAACACAAATGAATAAAATGAAAGTAAGGAAAAAGAAAAACCAACCCGTTTCCTACACACATACAAAAATAAAGGTGAAATCAATTAAAGCCATTTCTAGGATATTTCACCAAAAGAAACATTAATGCCACCAAACACAAAAATACCTAGAAGTAAACATTATAAAGGCATGTATAATCTCTGAGAGAAATTAGATATAGCTTGGAAGTAAGTTATCTCCATATTCATGTGTTTTCCAAGTTCAATGTCAACCTAAATACCATCATGCATTTATTATATTATATATATATATATATATATAAATTTGTTTCTAAAATTTATGTGAAATGCATGTAACCAAGTATGACTAATGCATTAGGCCATAGAAGCTGCACAGTTAGAAGAGTTAGTTTAAAGTAATTCTTAAATAAGTCTTACTCAGTCATGTTATAAATTTATAATAATAAAGGAGATAAGTACAGTTGTAAGGATACACAAACAACAGGATTGAATGGAACGGAGTATACAATGAGTAGGAAAGTCTGCATTTTTTATTTCAAAGGTGATCCTGTGGTGAGGAAAAGCTTTTTTAGTAATGATGCTGAGTCAACTTGCTGTCCAAACAATAATGTGAAACTTTTCATCACATCATACACACCCTTACAATATCAACCCATGTACTGTGCAATTAAAGAAAAGTAATTAAACATGTATGAGACAAACTGGGAGAATATTTTATGATCTAATGGTGAAAATGTTGTATGTGTACAAAAAATGTTGATAAGCTGTGCTTCATTAAGAACCCTTGACACCTGAAAGAATACCTTAATAAGAGAGTGAACGTAAAAGGACAAGTCTTACAAACCTGATACAGATACATACATGTTTGCACCAAAAGCTATTGCCATGTTAATATGTAGGATCATTATTTGAGAAGTCAACAAGTCTCAAATCTTAATATCAGTTGACTATCAATTCATGGTCATGTGGTCATTCAACAGAAAACTCAACAGCAAAAATAAGTAAATAAGTAAGTAAGTAAAGAAAGTTCTGCTTCAAACAGCAAAATAGGTGAATTCTAAGCACAATGTGGAGTCAAAGTAGACACAACAAGAGAAGATATTCCATTATTTTACATAGAAGTCCAAGGCTGATAAAAATTTTCTTTGGCAGTAATGTTAGAGTGGTCTTCTTTGGAGGAGAGCAGGGCACAGTGAATGGAGGGATGTGACTGTGACTTCTGGGAGCCACTGAAGCTCTCTGATAGTCCAGGGTGAGGAACTTGACAAAGCTGTCATTCATTGCTATACATTGTTCTCTATGAATTTCAATAAATAAGGATGCTTACTTAAAAAGTACTCCTCCTTATACCCCTAGAGAGGCCAGAAAGATGAATGATCATTGAGAAGAATCATAGTTCACCACAAAATGTTTCTTTTCTTCATTTATTGTTTTTAACAATTTTCCACTTAATATCACTGTTCTCTTTCAAGATTAGATCATAATCCCATTGCACATTCAATTTTTTTACAAAGTTGTTTTTAGTTCTTGATGAGTTTTTATATTTATTTACTTTATGTGGTGCTAAGGATCGAACCGAACCCACTGCCACACACATGCTAGACAAGCGCTCTACCACTGAGCCAGAACCCCAGCCCAGAATGTTTCATTTTTAAAGCCAGCTCTCCACAATGAATGCTCTTAGAGCCATGTCACTCAAGTACCAGCCAGCCCTGCCCTCTCTTACCTGAGTAGACCACAGAGGCTGTGTTTCCATGGGCACAGGCAGGAACACCCAGGGCAGTCACAGGGCAATTCCACAGGAAGGACTCAGATCCTGAGCAGTGGAATCGGTCTCTCCAGATCTCATCTCCTCGTTCCACAAAGTATGCTCCCTTTGGGGTGGAGATGGCGACTCCACAGCCCAGCTGACGGCAGACAACATTGGCATTGGCCATATTCCAGTGGGAGGCACAGAGTGTTCTCCAGCCTCCAGAGGTCTTCATCTCCACTTGACCTTCACACTGAGAGCTCCCATTTTTCATGAGCCGAACATCTGTATATCCTGATAGAAGACACGGCTTAGCAATATCCCACATTTTTCTTACTCCCATAGATTGTGTTGGGAAGACTCCCGCTGTGAGTCTCACCTGAGCAGACAACTTTCACAGCCCCTCTGTGGGAGCAGCTGCCTACAAGACAAGGCACTCTGGGGCAGAACCAGAGGCCAGGCTCCTGCCCCTCACACTGGAACTCTTCAGCCCAGACCTGTTCACTGTCCTCTCTGAGGGGCAGGTTCCCCAGGACAGATGCAGCCTTGCCACAACCAAGCTCTGCACAGATGACCTGGGCTGTGGGTAATGTGAAATTCCCATCAGATACTGGAATCCACTGTCCTCCAGAATTCACTTCCACTCTCCCAGAGCAAGGTCCGAGTCCTCCAACCAGATGCACAAATCCTATGGGAGAAAAAACAACAACAAGTACCAGCGACTAGAAGGAGGAATCTACAATTCACAGGTAATGCTGTGAAATCTTTTTGTTTTTCAGGGTTACCGTGTGGGGTGTGGGTTCAACAGAGGGTGCCTAAATGTGAATTCTTGGAGGAAGTGTGTGAAGAGAAATTTTGGAGAAGGAATTTGTAAGGTAAATTTTGAATTGTTGATTCAAGAAATGAATATACACACTGCTCTACACACATGTGTATGTGTCCAAGAAATGAAAATACATAGTGTGTAATATGCAGTTTTCTTATCTATGGACATGTTATTCTTCATATTATTAATGTATCTGTGTGTTTGTATGACTTTCTGTGACAGTCTACCTCCTTTTTTTAAAAAATTATATCCATATGTATCCACTGAAAGTGAACTCCGTATTAAAAAAAAAAAACTAGGATCAATTTTTCCCTATTTTATCCTCTGAAATTATCAATACACAGATAATAATTCCAACTAAGATAACATTAGTTAATAAGTGAAAAAAAATCAATAGGTCTGGAAACCGACAGTTTATATTTATTTCTCATTTAGGTATGAGAAAAGAGCGAAAAGAGCCCTCTAAATAGTGTGAGGCTGATTATAGAAAACAAGTTATTGTGACTAAAATAATCAGGGTTCTTTAAATCATTCTTCACACTATAGAAGAAAGAAAGGCCATTAGAAGTAGGAATAGAAGTTATTGAGAGATTTAGATATGAGATTGAGCATTATTATTTTCTTCTTTTCTTTTGTGTTTTATTAAGGGTTTATTTTGTTTCTAATAAACAGAGTTTGAAGATTCTATTATACACCTACTGAAGGTGGTCAGGAAGTGATTTCTAGTATGGGTCCAGACAATTTGGGGAGACATTTGGTTATAGATGTGAAATTGTAATGTAATAGTAAGTTTAGGTAGTAAAGAAGTTAAGCAATGAATCCTTTCTCAAAAAAATAGCATGTTCATTATATTTGTCCTCAAGTGAACCATCAAAGTAGAATGATGATCAAAAGCATTAATCTAACTTAATAAAATTATTATTTAAATACTCCATTTTCTCTCTGAAGCTGATGTATTAAAATTAAGTGTGAATGAATAAAGTGTAGCTACATTGATAACATTAATTTCTATCATTATACAGGAGTAATATAGTGTACCTTACTTATAGAGTCAAAATGCAGACATACAAATTCCAAACTGAAATCACTAATCTTTAGGAGATTATGTGTAAAAGAGGATGAGACCTACAGGAGCATCATAAAATCAGCCATAAATACAGTTATCCAGTGACAAAAACAACAAAGACCAGCCTCCAGAACAGAATCCTGACTGACTGAAGGCTCTGCCTCTGGATGGACCAGGTCTCCTTCTCTGTGAATTCTGGTTTCCACTCAGTTCCACCTTCACATTAAAGGTCAGCATCAGCACCACCAGAGAGGGTCATCAGGTTTGCATGTCTGATTGCAGTTTAAGCTGAGATAGAAACACAATCTTGCCTGAAGTGGCACTATCTCCTTTTTATTTACCTTTTGAAAAAATAATATTTGGCCCATTGCTAGCATCCAAGAGTTAGAATGTCTTAGGGAGATAAAAATAACATTATGTCCAAGTTTTATCTGAGATAATCCATTGGGGTATGAGTGCAATGTCCTCTGGTTAAAATGTTTTGAGGGTATCTTTGTCTGAATTCTATTGGAATATCAAATCTTTGCAATAGGCGTTTATATAATTTCCATTATTAAAAATCAGAAGAATTTCAGATAAAGAAATAGATCACCCAATGTAGGTTTCACCTTTACTCTTCTACTCTTCATATATCAGAGAAACCTAATCCAGTGATACAGTCTGAGAGGGGAAAGAGTAAAAWTCATACAGTACATGTACTCAGACCATAACTGAGCCTCTGTAATTGTGCTGAACAGAAATCCTGAGGTGTTCAGAGAGCATTATTGTTGCAAACTCAGCAATACATTTATTTGTCTCTTTAAAAAGAGCTATTTTACCAAGAACTACTGAATGTAGAATTAATACAATCAACTAAATTCACAAAAACTCCAAAGGACAAACAGCAAAAAATAAAGTATCTTGAAACCTTAAGATTTGTCTACTACGTCTTGAACACTAAAGAACAAATTTTGCTTTTTGTGTCATAAATCAGAAGTGACAGAGACATACTTGCACTTCAGTGCAAAAAGGGAAGCATCAAATCTCACAACAACCAATCAAGGAAAATGGTCCTGCTCTGTGGCCTAAGAAACCTGGAGAATTGGCACCAGAAAGAACTGGGGGTGCAGAGTTTGGCACATGACAGGAAATAGAGTCTATTGGTGGCTTCTCTTGTAGGGAAAGACAGATGGGCAGCCCCCAGGCAAGGTCTGCATGTAGATGATGCTTCCTGTATAAATAAATGAGGAGTTATGATATTTATCCTAAATCCATTCTCAGTCTCAATTTCCCTTCCTAAATCTCTCTATCTGAATTATCTAGTACCCTACATACCTCAACTTTATGTTGGGGGTATCTTTCTCTTAGGCACTGAATTCTATTGGAATATCAAACCTTTGCAATAAAATTTTATATAATTTCCATTATTAAAAATCAGAAGAATTTCTGATTTGTGATATCTCCTCATCCATCACCAAAATCTTATTTCTAGCCCTTTTTCATGGTTAAGTTTAAAGCTCCACAGTGATAAATGCTATTGGCAGTGTTAAATGTGTTAAAAGTTACTAAAAATGATATACTATTGAAGATGCTCCTGTGCTGCATCCTTATGTCCTGACAGACATGACAGAACTTGGGGAGAGTAAGTGAATTTAGAAGTTAGAGATAAGCTGGCATCCAGGCCTGTCCACTATATCCTCATTTATGCCTCTCAGCAAGAGCTCCACTTGCTTTCACGCCCCTCCTTTCCTACTCCCTCCACACCCCTTCAACCTGCCCCTCCATAGAGGATATACCCTATGCCTTTCTCTGGTGCTGCATCTCTACTCTTATTTCACAGAGGTGGCCTCCACTTTATCAACTGGGTTCATTTACAAAAAACACTTTAGTCAAGTCCCAGAAGGGTTGTAGAAACCTGGCCTTCAGGAAACTACTCTTTCTGTACTGTGCCAGCTCCTGGGAGATCTCCAATTCTCCACATCCCAGCCTTTACAAAACTAGGGCTCTTTCCCCTTGTGAAAATGGTGTCTCTCACTTCCCATCACTATCAGAACTTTTGGGCTCAAATTTATCCAGGTAAATTAAGAGGCAGAATGGCCAGGTTGATTTCCAACACATTTCATTAAGACTACACCTTTGTTTCTTCCAATAAGACCAAGATTTCCTGCTCCAAATTTCCTGTAGCTGGGTCTCATCTGCATCTAAGCAACTCTCCAGGGCTTTGATCATAAGCCTTGTTTCTGAATCCACCTGTCTCCTCGTCCATCACTCCAAAACCTTATTATACTCTTTAGGACACAGAACTGTGTCACCTGTTTAGATGGGAATGTCTCCATCAGATGTGGTATTAGGCCAGGCATAGGTGCACATAGATCCCAGTATCTTCCTTGAAGACAAAACTTGCCCTGTATTCTTTGGCTTCCCAGTCATCTCTGAAAGCCAGGAAATTGAGGCAGCAAGACCTTCCCATAGAGGCAGAGCAGGACACAAAGAGTGAGGTCAATGGATGCTCAGAAATGGGGGAAAATGTGTGTGATCAGGAAAGGGTAAAATGGGGAAGAGTGGTTTTCAAAGGAGACATAATCTAAACTTTCCACCTTGACCTGATATAGGAGAGATCTATTTGAAGAGAATACTGACAATCTGCTTCCATGGTTTCTAATCCAAATTACTAATGTCTTTTTAGGATTTGCCATGTTCCAGAAATGTTTTTAGGTATTGTGCATGAATATTTCTAGGAAATAGTGAGAACAAAAACAAACAATTTCAAGCCATTTGAAGTTTATGAGAGTCCTGTTTGGGGGAAAAATGAAGAAAAATGGCATCTGCAGAAGTCGGTTGATTCACATGAATCATTCTCACTAGAGATTGCAGTCAGATCTATCCTTGTCTGATTCTTTGCTTCAGGATACATTGCTTCATTGGGCAAATTTCAAGTTTCTTAAAAAGGTATAATCCATAATCCATCGGAAGTTTTGTTCCCCCAATATGACCTCAATACCTCAACTTTGAGTTACACTTACAAATCATTCTTCTTTGACACAGCATGGGTGTCCAGAACTCACACAAATGTACATAGACTCCCCACCCTACACAAGGGTCTCAAGTGCAGCTCAGATAATCCTTATATGCTCTTTGTTAATCCTGTGTTGCCATCCCCCAGACCCTGGAAGTTTCCTCTATCTTCCACAAAATGTTCTCATTCTTATCAAATTTACCTCACAATGCACTTCCCTTGTATTACTGAATCCATCACATATAAACTATATATACTTCTCCCATATCTTGTCACCCATAGCATTTTTCTCCTTTTTTTCATTTAAACTTTTTCAACTAATACCTAAAATATAAATAGAGTACTTATTAGTTGGGTAAATAGATCTCTTGATACATGTATATACTGTGTTATCTTATTTCCTCAAACACTTTTCCTTTCCATTTGTGAAAATTTCCAATACGCTGTCTTCTTTCTTTTTGAAATAGGTTTTCTTATTGCTATCTATAGTCACTCTACTGTGCAATGGTACACAAGAACTTCTGGTCTATCTAAGTAAAACCTATAACTGATTGATCAATCCCTATCTAACCCTACACTTTCCAGCCTATGGAAATCACAATTCCAGTCTAAACTACTAAATTTTTATGAAGTCAACTCTTTCAGGTTTCACACATAGTGAGATTAGAAGACCCTTGTCCTTATTTGCCTGACTTATTTCACTTAACCTAATGATTTTCAGGTCCTTGCATGATGCAGCAAATGAAAGGATTTCTTTCTTTTTTTTTGGTCAAGGAGTATTCCTTATGTAAATGCACTTCATTGTATTCATATATAAGTTGATGGACACTTAGATTATTTCCCTTTCAACTACTGTCAGTAGTACTGCCATAAACATGAGAGTACAGAGGTCTCTTCAACATCCTGATTTCATTTCCTTTGGATATAAGCTCAGCAGTGATTACTGTATTATATAGTTATTTTTTTTTGGGGGGGGAAGTGGTTGTCTGATAATAGCTTTGTATTTCCTTTGTTTATAAAGGACAGCTTTGCCATGTTCTGTATTTTTAATTTGCAAATTTTTTCTTCAGTTCTATGAAAATCTCATGGCACTCACTTCTGGCCTACATGTTTCCTGTTGGTAAGCTAATTGTCAGGTGAATTAGGACACGCTGTGTGTTCTTTGTGTTTTTATTCTTGAATCCTTGAGATTCTTTACCTTTCATCTTTGAAAGCTGAATTATAATATGTAATGACAAGAGCTCAAGGGTCCGGGTCAAATTTGGGTGCCCATGTAAACTTTCAATCCCAAGAAGAGACTTAACTCTCTCCAAAGTGTGTTCCCTGGGGCTGTGGGAAGGAGTGAGGAGGGTGGTTCTGTGGCCACCAATGCTGCAAAGATATGTCACACACTGAGGCCTCAGACTGCCAAGGTAACACACCCCTGTGTAGGGACCAAGGCCCTCAAGGCTATGAGCTGCCTATTGCTAAGGTGGACTCATGTCCCAAGACTCCAGCAACCAGCCACAGGCTCTTCTTGAGTGTGTCCCACAGCACACAGGTCATGCTCTCCCTATGAGTTCTGTCCTACACTTGAGATCTCTAATTCCTACTGAGTATTGAGTATCATCATAATGTGCCTGGCTTTGGGATCAAAGACAAAATTCTACATCTGTCTTTATGTCCTGCTCCTTAGACAATAGAGTATTGATTTCTTTCTGCCAAGACAGGTTGGAAGAGTGGGGGTGGAGACAGTCTCTTTGATGCCCAACTAAACACAGTTCCAGAGTCCCAGTATGAGCTATGGGCTCTCTGAGAGAAAGAATCATGTCAATGGTTATACTGGCACATAATTAAGGGTTATTGGGATCTACTGGGCATCTGCCTAGTTCTGAATTTCAAGTCTAAGACCTTGGCTTAATTACCTTTCCATTCCCCAAGAAAAATTCATATTTCTTCATGTTGGGCTGCATGGATTAAGGGAAAGGATAACTCTTATTATCCTCTCTCCTCCAATGTGTCTTTCTTTCTATTATCATAAGAGCTGGGAATCACCTGCTTTCTTTTCTTTTCATACACCTGGTTTACTTTCTCTCATCAAATTGTTTGGTATGTGCAAAACTGCTTACATGGTGTTTTGTGAGAGAGCACAGATCTCTGATCCTTCCTGCCAATGACATAAAAATTACGATGTCTAAATCTGGAAAGAAAAATTTCAACTTTGCAATAATCAATAAATTATCTTATGTGTTTGATCCCTGTGCCCACATACCTACTAACCCAGTACAAAAATATTTCTCAATATACATCTACAAACACTCAATTCAAATGAGAAAAGTAGGGCCTCATTCTTGTCTGTCCTTTGAAAAGCACTGCAAACAGAGTGTGTATGCTAATTTATTTGTAATCCTAAGGGGGAAAAAACCCTGTAAATTAGAGAAACAAAAGTATAAAAATTGACTTTAAGTTAAAATGGTCTACAAAAAAAAAATATCTTGTGAAGAAGAGAGTTGAGAAGTAAAAGGACAGTATCAGAGATTTATAGGACAGGAATAAATGAAGTCTGTCATCCACTGTTACCCCTGAATGCTCAGATTCAGGAAAAGATCTCTTAGTCCTCTCTGGACAATTCACCTCCTATTCACCCAGGGATAAGACACTACTTCCTGAACTTTCCATTCTCTTAGATACTGAATACTGTAGTGACCATACCTGAGCAGATGACTCCTGCATCCTTATAGTGCCCACAATTATTCTTTCCCAAGCCCAGGGCAGGGCAATTCCACAAGTATTCCTCCTCTCCTGTGCATGCCAGTCTTGTCAGCCAGATGGGTCCAGATCCCTCTCCAAATTGTGCATACAGCAAGGCATTGAAGGCCACTCCACAACCCAGTTGTCTGCACACCACGTGGGCATCTTTCAGGTCCCAGCTGTCACCACAGACAGTGCCCCAGGAATGCTGGTGAATGATCTCCACTCTGCCTGCACACCGACTGCCACCATCCACCAGGCGGAGCTGTGGGCTCTCTGAGAGAAAGAATCATGTCAATGGTTATATTTTTAAAAAGAATGGGAAAGGTTCTCTTGTCATGTGGTACTGCTTTCCCAACCAAGCAGTTGGCAGCATGTACTTTCAGAATGCAGAAATTACTGAGTAAGACATGGAACCATTCATTATACTAGGTTAGCAGGTAAGTCTGAGTTTCTAACATAACCTGAGAAAATTAATTGTGAAAAAATAAGAAATGAAATCAAACAACATAATCAAGAGAGTGGTCTTAGGTAGAAGTTATTATGCAGATCTGGTCAGAGTAAAACTTGCTGTTGGTAGAGTTCTGCATATCATGTGACAAAACTATTTGAGAAATGCCAAGATTCCTATTTTGAGTAGCTGAAAGTGTCTTTTTCTGAATGGTTCTTAATTTGATTAGCTGAAAGTGTCTTTTCTGAATGAATGGGCCAGTATCCGAATTGGTTTCTTGTAAAGCACATACAGGTGACTATCCATGGCCTGAGATTTGGAAGGATGAGAGTACATGGGGTAGGAAATGGGGATGAGATCGTCAGAAGTCTCAGGTGACAGCCATGAATCCAGGGGGGGAAAAATGAAATTATTCAGGAATTAAGATTGAAAAGTGAATGGATCATAAGACACACCATAGCTATTGTAATATATTTCACTATTGATTCTAGGCTTCATATTTCAAATATAGATATTAAATTTTAAATTTATGTTCACTTCAGGTAGATTGGGAAACCTCCCTGAATAGATGATATCAGATATTGACATTGCCCAAATGCCACTAGGAATCATAGAATGTTACTTATTCCCTCAATATATCCAATCTGTGCTTGGATTTCCTGCCAGGAGTTCTTGAGGAGGAGGCAAATAGTAGAATAGAAGTACACTTTTTGTGACTCTGTGAGTGACAAGAGCCGGAGAAATGTATTTTGAGAAGAGGAAGAAAACTGGGAACCAATGAAGAAATGATGAGAAATGTTGACAATATGGAGAAGCATTAAGGCAGCCCAGAGAAAAATACAAATCAATTTTCAACTTCAAATCCAGCTGTCTTACCTGTGGGAGAAACACATTGTTCTTACAAGTTTTAGATCAAATTTGGGTTGTTGTTCTGAGATGGATGCCTTCCATATAACAAGCCAGATTTGGAGAAGGAATTTATCACATTGCTCAGCAAGCTCTCAGAGTGCTATAACCAGGGGCCTTCTTTAGAAGGGTACTATTGTAGGGGCAAAACTGTGCTGGAATTATAAAATGGATTCATTATAATACACGGGTCCTTTGGTGATCCCTCACAGAAACTGGATGGAAGATGTGAGCACTTACAGTCTCAGATAGGAAGACTGACTTCCACAAACACACTGAGATGGCAGCAGAGAAAGGACTAGAAGCCTCATTGATACGTGGTCCTTCTCTATGTGAAAAGAAGTGATTCCAGTCTCATGTGGCTGCACAGAGAGGCCTGAATTGAAAGCTCAGAGATCAAATCTGATGATTCACCGCATTCCTGTACCCCATCTCCTGGGTGGAGCTCAGTAGTTTGATTGCTTGCACCACTTTTCACAGGAATTCCAGAGACTCACCATGGCTAGGACACTTGGCTAGACCCCAAGGGCACGAGGTCCCTGGAACAAGTGTGGGCCCACCAGTTGGGTCCACAAATCACTGGCACTTGATTGCTGAGCCACATCCCCAGTCTTATTTTGTATTTTATAGAGAGACAGGATCTCATTGAGTTGCTTAGTGTCTCATCTGGCTGTTTCTGAGGCTGGTTTTGAACTAGCAATTCTCCTGCCTCAGCCTCCTGAGCTGCTAGTATTACAGGTGGTCTCCACCACACCTGCTCCTAGCTCATTTTGATGGAATTCAAAGGATCTACAGTTGGCTTCTTTTTTATCCTAGGGACACCTGCTGGATTCAAATGTTAAATGACCAGGAAATGGGTGTCTAAATGACCAGGGAAGAGATGTCTGTATGCAAGTATTTTGTATAGGAGGATTTTTGACATATTTTTTATTTTTAATATCTACATTATTATATTTACCTTATTAGTATATATTTAATGCATTTTAAAAATCTTTAAATGAAAATTTCTTTCATCTTTTTTATATAAAATGATTTTCTTGTTATTTTTTATTCCTCTTCTTCTCTGAGTTTCTTCCTTTTTGAATTATTTTTTTCTTTTATTACTTTACTTTCTTGTTCATTCTATATTTATTCTTTAGTTGTTATTGATTTTAATTGATTATTACTATATTTTATAGTATTTTATAGCTGATTTATGTGTCTGTGGTAGCTACTGCTGTTATTCATTTTCTTCTTTCTCAATTATGATCATGATTAAGCCAAGGACCTTGAACAGTTTTGAGTGTGCTGTGCCACTGAACTATAATTCTAGCCACAAGAGTGAGGTTTTACCTTAATATTACCATAACCTAGCCCTGCTCAAGCCTTAGTGGTTGTTATGGTTTGAATGTGAGGTACCCCCCAAAGCTCCTGATAAGACAATGCAAATGTTTTAGAGGAGAAACGATTGGGTTATAAGAGTTAAGACTCTCATAAGTCTTAATCCAATTGGTGAATTGATCTTCTGATGGGATTAAGTCAGAGGCAATACTATTCTTATCTTTGAATTACAGAAGAGACTAGGGAGTTGGGTGTAATGAATGGGGATGATTATAATGGGATATTATTTCATTTAATCAGGGTAAGAAGAACATGTACAATCATGAGGAGACTGGAAAAGTGAAAAACTGATAAGGGAAAACATTTAGAATCTGCATGAGGATAAAATATCTGGAAAAGTTGCATTATGAATATGTGTCATAAGGAGAAGAATCAACAGCCAGAGAAGTGAATAATGCCATCAAGATCCCAAGCTGGACAGTTAGTGATGGTCAAAAGGGTGGCTATAGATGGAGATGGGTGTGAGGGAGCATTTCAAAGGGAGAAATTCAGGTCTGGAGAGGCCAGGATGTTATCTCAGTTGTGTTCAAGGATGCTGGTAGCACCAGGAACAGGAGGCAGAGGAGCCTGGTGAGCCTGGTGAGCCTGGTACTGCAGCCTTACTGGATGAGGGGGAGTGACCAGGTTGGAGAGTGACACCAACAGAAGTGGTGGCCAGTGTCACCTCATGGGGCAAATTTAATGTTGCTGGATGTGGAGAAAAAGGAAAGAAATTGTTGAAAATGAAAAGGTGATGAAAAAATATTCTCTGATTTGGCCAGAAAAAGATTGCATGTTACAAGGAAATGCAGAGCCTCCTACTAATAAGAAAACCATTGTTTCTAGAGGATACCAGGTTTTTATCAGAGCATGAGTCTGAAAGGCACATTACACATTACAGTTCTTTTTTAAAAATATTTAGTTTTTAGTTGTAGTTGGACACAAAACTTTTATTTTATTTACTTATTTTTATGTGGTGCTGAAGATTGAACCCAGGGCCTTGTGTGTGCTAGGCAAGCGCTCTACCGCTGAGCCACAACCCCAGCTCTTCATTATAGTTCATAAGAAGTTAGAAGATATTGGGCTCCAATTTCATGCAGGCCCCATTAATGTTTCCTGAGACAGGGAGGAAGTGGGCAACTTAGTTTGCAGTAGTATATGGCACAGAGGAACCGTATCAACCAAGACCACTGGCACTGTAAGGAGATCAGTTCAAGGGGAAAATGAGGGGAGACCAGGCCCCTCATCTCATAGCACTTCCTCATGATGTGCCAGAGAAGAAGACTAAAAAACAGGTTTCTAACAAGATCGTTATTGAGTCATGCGTGGGAGAGGTGTTGTGCTCTTCTTACCTATGCAGGTAATTAGGCATTGCTCTTCCCCATCCTCCTCCTGCTCTGCTCAGGATGAGACTGCATCAGTAACTCAAGGTCACCATGCTCTTTTTACGTCAGTATTTAAACTGAGAAAATGCTCTACATTCTTCCTGCATTGCAACTCTACTCCTCCTTTCTTTCRCAATCTAAATATGGTTTCTCTCTTCCTCAATTCACATATTTGTACAGCACCTACCATGCCTTCGTGACACTAAACTTCATGCAAGGTGTGTGTCATCAGGCTGGAGTGAAAACTCCATGAGAGCAGGGATGGTAATTTCATCATGTGTCTGTTTTCCTGGCTGAAAGTAAGTTTCTACCTACAAATCACCCAATTACTTATCATCAACAAACTAATCTGAGAGGTTGTCTGATGGCTGTAGTGGATTCCAGAATGAACAGCCCATTGTATTGAATTCCCCCAAGTTGCCACTCACTTAATTGAAAATGTGAGAAAGATGAAGTGCTTACTCCAAACCTCATTTTCCTCATCTGAAACAAATGATCACCATAATGCCTACCAAGCCTTTAATGTGATGATTAAGCTTCATTATGTGTGGTGATAGTGGGAAACGACGTGATAACTCATAGCAAACAATGTATATTACTGAGCTTCAATCTTTCACCATCTCACTAAGGAAATACAGAGTAATTAATACAATGTAAGACTGCATTAGCTAATTAATACAATGTAAGAATGTGCATCAGAGTGTAACTTTATGGTCCCATATGCTAAGTTCGCTATCTGGTACTTTTCACATAAATCACTATCATTGCTGGATTTCTCACATCTGCCTTGAAACAGGATTGCAACAGGTGGGTCAAGTAATCTCTAACCAGGATTCATGTTGTAGACTTATTTCAACGCATCCATTATTTTTAAATATATGAACCTTTCCTGACAACAACCTACAGGTATAGGAAAGACTCATAGAAGTAGACTGTCGGTCACCTGTACATGTGATATGAGCTTCCTCCTTTGGTGAGCAAGATTGATGTTTCCAGGGGTCAGAAGGACACTGCCAGAGAGAGGTGTCAGTTTTTCGACAGTGAATTCCATCCACCCAGCGGGGTCTAGAACTTTCCCTCGAAGGTACCAAGAAATCCAGAGTCCCAGCATCCCCACAGCCAAGCTGTCTGCAGATCATGGACAAGGTCACAGGTTCCACGGGGCTTTGGCATATACTGCCCCAGGTGTTGTTGTAGAAAATCTCCAGCCACCCAGCACACTCCTGGTCCTTGCTCACCAGCCTGAGAGCCAGGAAGTCTAAAAGCAAGAGGAGGAAAACAGGGGTCAGGGATTATTGAAATCCTACTGCTGTTGTTTTTTTTTTTTCTTCTTTATTCCTAAGTAGTGAGTGTTCACTGCTGACTCTGCTGAAGAAATGTCCACTAGGTGGAAAACTGCAAGTTTTGTCCCTTTAACTTGTTTCCCTAACTTGTACCTCTCTTTCTGTTTCTACAACAATGTAATATAAGCAAATGAACAGGAGGAACAGTGACCTGGGGGCTCTGTGGAAAAGAAACTTTATTTACTACCTGACAAACCATCTCACAGATCCTAGAAAAGGAGGCTGAACAGAGCGGACAGGCTGTCCACTGTCTGGACAGGCTGCACAGACTGTCCACTGCCTGATCTTGGGAGTGTGTGGATATTTTACCTCATTGCCAAAGTGCTTTTAAGACACAATTAAGAAAAGATCCTTTTGTGGATTATTCTGGATCAGCCTGGATTAGTAGCTGAGTGCAATCTAATCATATCCCAGAAGTCTATCATCAAAATCAGATGATTCTTTTGCCCCTCATCATAGGGAGATGTGAATATGAAAAGATGATCAGAGTATTGCCCTGTTGTCATTTTGAAGAAAAAAAAAGCCATGAGACAAGGAATTCAGTCAAATGCTAGAAGCTTCAAAAGGAAGGAAATGAGTCTTCCCAAAGCTTCAGCTGTTACAACCTGCTCACATGTTGTTTATAGCCCACATAGACCTTGTTAAAAATTCTAATGTACACACCATAGGATGACATATTTGTGTTGTTTTGAGTCATTCAGTCTACGGTAACTTGTTACAGCAGAAATAGAAAACTAATTCAGTGGGTCAGGATGTTGCACCCACAGGTCACAGAAGAGTGATGACTACTTTTAATGGATATTGTAGAGAATAACTGTGTCAGGGGACAGTGCTTGGAAGGAAGGAGTAGAAGCTCAGATGCTGCAGCAGAAAACAGAAACACCTCGTGTTCTCTTTTGGAAGGACAAGAATTGTCCTTCCCCTCTGCCCTGTCCCAACCCTTGTACAATGCTCAGACACCATCCTGCACACCCTTCCAGACCTCCCAGCCTGTGCACATACCTGAGCAGATGACCCCAGCATCCTTCTTGTGACTGCAGTTGTGCTGCCCCAGCCCTGGGAAGGGCACTGCCACACATGGGCCTCCTCTCCTGTGCAGTTCACTTCATCCAGCAAGATGGGCCCTGATCCCTCTCCAAAGTGAGCAGAGATGGTGGCCTCCAGGGCCACTCCACAGCCCAGCTGTCTGCACACCACATGGGCATCACTCAGGTCCCAGCTGTCATCACAGATGGAGCCCCAGGAGCCTTGCTGCAGGATCCCCACTCTCCCTGCACAATGACTGCCTCCATCCACTAGACGGAGCTGTCTGCTGTCTGAGGAGAGACAGGGTCATGTCAGTGGGCATTTACACAGGGAATGGGAAGGTTCTGGTGCTGGGGGTCTTGCTCACCTGAGCAGTTGGCAGTRTGGCCCTCTGAGGCTGCAGAGCCTGCTGGGTCTGACCAGGAGTCATTGCACTGGGGTAGCATCTGGGTCTGGCTTCCTACCAAAGGGGTTAGAAAGCAGAAAATTGATTTAAACTTGCCAATTATCTAGTGATGAAATCTGAAAACTATAGCCCACAATCAGTAATTTACTATCTTCTATTCAAGGATTCTGCTTCTGCTTCTAACACACACTTTTCTCTTAGTTAAATGAAGTGTAAATCTTCTACAGTCCCAGGAATGACATTAGCACAGTGTGAATATAGCAGCGCTGTTGGAAAGTATTTCACAGTTCCCAGGGAATCAAGACTTAGGAGTCAAGTTCAGAGAAAAGTAAAAATTAGAATCAGTGATTTTTCCCTGGAGGCATTTGACCATTCGATAGTAGTAGGTGAGACTCTGAAAATCTCAGCATGTTTGCCAGTTTTTTCCTGGAGTACACAAGTAAAATTTAGGTTGGACCAAAGAGGAAGAATCATATTAAACAAATGGAAACCTGTATCATATTTTGTAAAAGAATTTTTGTCAGAGATATGGTGCACAGTATCTCACCACTTCAATTCTTTTGAATAAGGTGATCTACCCTAAATAAAGTGAAGTGAAGAAGTTAAATAAAACCTTTTCTGACGTTTTTGTAGGATAGATGCTTTTTCAAATACAATGTTTGTCAAAAAAAAGAAAAACAACCCCACATATTAAAGAGTTTATGAATAAAATAAAATTAGCAAAGTAGAAAAAAAGAAAACATATTCAGAGAGCAGTATTGGTGAATTACCTTGTAGGTAATTCAAATAGTCATGAATAAATAAATGACAATATGGGCATATTGTTAGAGAAATGAAAACAAAAATCAAATAAATGATTGAGAGTCAATAAAATTTTAAAGAACCAATAAAAAGTCAGTAGCTAAAAATAGGAAACCAGAGGATGAGTCTGAAATCACTGTAGGTTAACACAAAATGGTATATAAGTGGAAAAATACAGAGTGAAGAACAGAAAGACAAACACATAAGGAATAAAATAGGATACTAAGAGCAATAGTGAGAGAACCTACCATCCTAAATACTCTACAAGTTTTAGGTATTAAAGCCATAGTTGATCACACAAAAATACAAATTAGAAAATAAACAAAGTGAGATATTTAATACAATTTTAGTTTTTGAAAATACCCACAAAATCTGTGTCAAGGTCCATTGACCTGTACAGTCCATTCCTCCTGCCCTCCAATCTGGGCTGACAGTGGTGAGTTGTCTATAACAACAGAATGTGGTGAAGGCAGCACAGCTTGACTTGAGAACCTTGCTACGAAAGTCCTGCCTCCTCCTCTTGACTTAGTAGGATTTTTTTAAATGGGAAATCTACTCTGTAGGAACTATTATGTGGGAGAGAGCATTTGCAGGTTGTTCTGTCAGCAGCCCTAGTTGAACTTCAAGCTACCAGCCATGTGAATGAACTGTCCTGGATTCCCAGCATGGTCAAGTCTACAATGACCTGAGCTGCAGATGAGATCCAAGTGTAACCTCATGAGAAACCATAAGAGGCAACTGCCAAGAATCCTTGCTAAATTTATGAATCTTGAAAGTATGGGCAAAATAAAATATTTTTATTTGTGTTGCTATTTTGGGGGGTGATGGGGTGGGAATAATGCATTAAAAAGCAATAGCAACCAGGAAAATTACATTTACTGTGAAACAGCAATCATATGTTTCCACGTTTATTGTGGCACTATTCACAATAGCTACCATATGGAATCAGGTGCATAATGAAAGAGAAATTCATAAAGAAAATGTGATATAAATACAGCCGTAAAGAAGAATGTAGTTCTACTTTTTTGCATCAAATGGATGAATTTGTAGGACAACATGTTAAGTTCATTACCCAAACACAGAAAGAGAAGTACCACATGTTCTTCATCATACACAGAAGACAAGAGAGTTAATTTATGGAATTTGGCAATGGCATTGTGGTTATATAAAAAAATCTTGAAAATATTGGAAGGTTAAAGGAACATATATCTTATCTACCTAATGTTAATAGTCACTCAGAAATGTTTTATATATCCAGGGATGAATATGGCAGAAGGAGGCAAGAATATAGAAAAATAATAGCATTGAGGAATCCTGGTAAGGTTACCTGGGAATTTTATCTTATCCTTGAAGCTTATTCAGAATTCTCAAATTATCAAAAAAGTAAAAATAAATGATAGAGAAAAAAGGAAAACAAAACCACAAATAACCAAATGTTAAAACTAATTGTTATGATTTAGATACTGGGTGTCCCCAAAAGCTCATGCATGAGACAATGTAAGAAAGTTTAAAAGTGAGATGTATGTTATGAGAGCCTTAACCCAATCAGCACATTAATCCTCTCATAGTTTTAACTGGGAGGTAATTGTAGGCAGGTAGGGTGTGGCTTGATGTGGTAGGTGCCTGGGTGTGTATCTTTGGGTTTATATGTTGTCCTTGTTGAGCAGAGTTCTCCCTATTTCTGCCTTTTGGTGGCCATCTGTTGACTTGCTTTCTCCTGCTACACTCTTCCACCATGATATTCTGCCTTATCTTGAGGCCAAAGGAATACAGTAGGCTATCTAAGGACTGAGACCTCTGAAACTGTGAACATCAATATAAACTTTAGCTCCTAAAATTGTTCCTGTCAGACCTTTTTGTCACAGCAGCTAAAAGCTATCTAAAACATAAGCAGAATTAATTATTAGGACATTTCATTATAAGAAACAWAAGTAGCATCAAAAACATTAAAAAGCCAAGAGTATAACTAGTAAAAAATATCTATAATCACTGAGAGAAATTGGAGATATACATTGTAAGTCAACTAGCTCCATTTTGATGTTTAGATCAAATCCAAACTCAATTTAATATCACCATGATTTTATTGTATTAGATGTATCAACAAAGTGAAATCAAACCCCTATCTCTCACCATGCACAAAGCTCAACTCAACATGGATCAAGGACTTAGGAATACAACTGGAGACCCCGCTTCTAATAGAAGAAACAGTAGTCCCTCATCTCCATCATGTGGGATTAGGTCTCAACTTCCATAATAAAACTCCTTTGCCTCAAGAATTAAAATCAATAATTAATACATGGGATGGATTCAAACTAAAAAGTTTCTTCTCAGCAAAATAAAACAAAAAAAAAAATCTGTGAGGTGAATAGAGAGCCTACTTCTTGGGAGCAAGTTTTTACTCCTCACACATCAGATAGAGCACTAATCTCTAAGGTGTATAAAGAACTCAAAAATATAAACACCAGTAAAAGACACAAAACAAACAAACAAACAAAAAAACAAATAACCCAATCAACAAATGACCAAAGACCTGAACACACACTTCTCAGAAGATGATATACAATCAATCAACAATTATATAAAAAGATGTTCATTATTACTAGCAATTAGAGAAATGCAAATCAAAACCACTCTAAGACTTCATCTCACTCAAGTTGGAATGGCAGCTATTATGAAGACAAACAACAATAAGTGTTGGCAAGGATGTGGGGGAAAAGGTACACTCATACACTGCTGGTGGGGCTGCAAAGTCGTGCAGTAAATATGGAAAGCAGTATGGAGACTTCTTGGAAAATTGGGAATGGAACCACCATTTGGTACTGGAGATTCACCTCTGTACCACAGATCAGCTGATGGCAAACTACATTGGCTTTGGCCATATTTCAGTGGGAGGCACAGAGTGTTCTCCAGCCTCCAGAGGTCTCCACATCCACTTGACCCAGCTATCCCTCACCTTCTTCTTTACCCAAAGGACTTAAAAACAGCATACTCAGGGATACAGCCATGGCAATGTTTATAGCAGCACAATTCACAAAAGCTAAACTGTGGAGCCAACCTAGATGCCCTTCAATAGATGAATGAGTAAAAAAATATGGCATATATATACAATGGAATATTACTCAGCAATAAAAGAAAATAAAATCATGGCATTTGCAGGTAAATGGATGGAGTTAGAGAAGATAATGCTAAGTGAAATTAGCCAAATCCAAAAAAAAAATGCCAAATGTATTCTTTGACATAAGGAGGTTGATTCATAGTAGAATAGGGGAAGGAAGCATGGAAGGAACAGACAAACTCTAGATTGGGCAGAGGAGTTGGAGGGTAAGGGAGAGGACATGGGGTTAGAAATGATGGTGCAATGTGATGATCATGATTATCCAAAGTGCATGTATAAAGACACAAATTGGTGTGAATATACTTTGTATACAAGCAGAGGTATGAAAACTTGTGCTCTGTAAGTGTAATAAGAATTGCAATTCATTCTGCTGTCACATATAAGTAAAAGGTAAATAAATTATTTATAACATAAAATAAATAAAATAAATACAAATAAAAGATAAATTTATAAAGTTGTTTATAATATTTATGTGAAATGCGTAAGACTAAGTATGATCATTGCACTGGGCAGGAAAAACAACACAATTAGAGCAGTTATTTTAAAGAAAACTTTAAAAAAGTTAATCAAACATGCTATAAAGTTATGATAACTAAGGGAATATGCATGGCTACAGTCCTAGAAAATGACAGAACAAAATCAAATAGAGTATATAGCAGGAATCAGAAATATCTACACCCTGTATATTTCAAAGGTGACACAGCAGTGGGGAAAAACCTTTTTAGTAATGATTTTGAGTCAAATGAATGTCCAAACAATAATATGAAACATTTTTTAGCATCACACACACTATATACAATACTGACCCCAGAAAGATTGTGAAATTACATATAAAATAAAAGTAACTAAAGATGTATAAGACACTATTGGAGAACATGTTTATAATCTATGGTAGTAAAGTTATATTTAAAAGGACAATAGAGACAAGTGCACTAGTGCACGCCTATAATTTCAGTGGTTTGGGAGGTTGAGACAGGAGGATTGCAAGTTTGAAGCCAGCCTCAGCAATGGTGAGGCACTAAACAACTCAGTAAGACCCTGTCTCTAAATAAAATACAAAACAGGGCTGGGGATGTGGTCCCGTGATCCAGTGCTTCTGAGGTCAATCCCCAGTAAAAAAAAAAAAAAAAAAAAAAAAGACTTTAGGACACTCTGTGTATGGGAAATATTGATACACTGTGCTTCATCAAGAAGAAGAATTTGATCCCTAAATGAAGACAATATTAAGATAGGAAAAATAGGCAGTTGCTGGACGAGCGCTTCGGTTGCTGGTAGTGAGTAACAGTCACTGCGTGAGGGGAACTGATCTTCGATTCACGAGTTCAGGGACAATGCTGAATGGGATAACAAAGCTTATCTCCAGGGGCCAGAGGTTGGATCCTAGATTTTTTTGCACACTGGGACCCAGGCACCCCGAATCGCTGCTGCTCACCTAGAAAACCAGGTTCCAATTGAGAGTCCCCGAGCCATTTTCCGCACTAATGAAAGTGACCCGGCCAAGCATGGGGAGCAGCAAGAGGGCCAGCACTACAGCATCCCCCTCCAGAATTTGAAGACTGTATTTCCCCATGGCCTGCCTCCTCGATTTGTAATGCAGGTGTGCAAAACAGAATGAAACTGGTGAAAACATTTGGTGAAGCTTGCCTGATGATACGAAAGCCAGCCCTAGAGCTTATGCATTATCTGAAAAACACCAATTTTGCTCATCCAGCTGTGCGGTATCTTTTCTATGGGGAGAAGGGAACAGGCAAAACCCTCAGTCTTTGTCATGTTATTCATTTCTGTGCCAAGCATGATTGGTTGATACTGCATATTCCAGATGCTCATCTTTGGGTGAAAAATTGCTGGGATCTTCTGCAGTCTACCTACAATAAACAGCGCTTTGATCAACCTTTAGAGGCTTCAACCTGGCTGAAGAATTTCAAAACTGCAAACGAACACTTCCTTAGCCAGATAAAAGTTCAAGAGAAATATGTCTGGAATAAGAGAGAAATCACTGAGAAAGGCAATCCTCTGGGAGAAGTGATTGAACAGGGTCTGACCCGTGTGAGAAACACCACAGACGCAGTTGGGATCGTGATGAAGGAGCTAAAGATGCAAAGTTCTTTGGGAATGTTTCGTCTACTGATGGCAGTGGATGGAATAAATGCCCTTTGGGGAAGGACCACATTAAAAAGAGAAGATAAAACCCCAATTGCTCCAGACAAACTAGCACTTATTCACAACCTGAGGAAAATGATGAAAAATGACTGGCACGCAGGTGCCATTGTGTTGACTTTCAGCCAGACTGGATCTCTCTTTAAGCCCCAGAAAGCATACCTGCCGCATGAGTTGCTGGGAAAGGAAGGATTTGATGCCCTGGATCCCTTTCTTCCCATTTTGGTTTCCAGTTATAACCCAAAGGAATTTGAAAGTTGTATTCAGTATTATTTAGAGAATAATTGGCTACAACATGAAAAAGCTCCTACAGAAGAAGGGAAGAAGGAGCTGCTATTTCTAAGTAATACCAACCCTGGGCAACTCGAACGTCTCTGTGCCTACCTGTGAGCCATGGTCATTATGTGGATGGAAGACAATGGACATTTTCTTAATGCTACACCCAGTCCCAGAGAACTCCCCTAGCACTCAGAACAGCCAGGCCCCTGTACATGGGATTAGCCAGGACTGCTGTGGGCTATGGACCTTCTTTGAAATGGGTTCCTTACAAAATGACTGTGAACATATGGTAAGATTTCCCCTTGTTCCTAAAAATAAAATCATTTTTTGAAAAAAAAAAAGATAGGAAAAATAAAAAGAAAATATTGAAAATGTATATGAATATATTCATATTTCCACCAAACAATATTGGCATGGTAATATGTAGGATCATTATCTCAGAACTCAACATTTGCAAATACTCAAATCTCCATATCATTTGAATGAATCAATACATGATCCTGTGTTTATTTAGGAGAAAACTCTACAGCAATAAAAATAAATGAGGCCGAGATAAAATTAAAAGCATGGATGAATTCTAAATGTTATGTTGATTCAAAGTAGACACAACAAGGAACATGGTACATGATTTTACATAAAGCTCAAAACCTGAAAAAAAATTCTTTGGCAGCAAAAGTTAGAGTGCTCTTCTTTGGAGGGGAGAAGGGCACAGTGACTGGAGGGATGTGCAGGTGACATCTGGGAGCTGCTGATGCTCTCTGATAATCCAAAGTGAGGAACATGACAGAGCTGTCATTCATTGTTATATAGTGTTATCCATTAATTTCAATAAATTATAATGCCTATTTAAAACCAATCCTCTTAATATTTCTTGAAAGGGCTGAAAGATGAATGATAATAAGAATCCCAATTCACCACAAAATGTCTAATTTTTGAAGTCAGCTCTCCATGCTGTCTCCTCTTAGAGACATGTCACTCAAGTACCAGTCAGCCCTTACCTCTCTTACCTGAGCAGACCACAGAGGCTGTGTTTCCATGGGCACAGGCAGGAACGCCCAGGGCAGTCACAGGGCAATTCCACAAGAAGGACTCAGACCCTGAGCAGTGGAATTGGTCTCTCCAGATCTCATCTCCTCTTTCCACAAAGTATGCTCCCTTTGGGGTGGTGATGGCAACTCCACAGCCCAGCTGACGGCAGACAACATTGGCATTGGCCATATTCCAGTGGGAGGCACAGAGTGTTCTCCAGCCTCCAGAGGTCTTCATCTCCACTTGACCCTCACACTGAGAGCTGCCATTTTTCATGAGCCGAACATCTGTATATCCTGGTAGAAGACAGGGTTTTAGCAGCATTACATATTTTTCTTACCTCAGTAGATTGTGTAGGGAGGTTAACTTCCTGTTGTCTCACCTGAGCAGACAACATGCACAGCTCCTTTGTGGGGGCAACTGCCTACAGGACAGGGCACTCTGGGGCAGAACCAGAGGCTAGGCTCCTGCCCCTCACACTGGAACTCTTCAGCCCAGACCTGTTCACTGTCCTCTCTGAAGGGCATGTTCCCCAGGACAGATGCAGCCTTGCCACACCCCAGCTCTGCACAGATGACCTGGGCTGTGGGTAATGTGAAATTCCCATCAGATACTGGAATCCACTCTCCTCCAGAATTCACTTCCACTCTCCCAGAGCAAGGTCCGTGTCCTCCAACCAGATGCACAAATCCTATGGGAGAAAAAATAAGCAACAACCAATACCAGCAAATAGAAGGACGAAGCTACAATTCACAGGTAATGCTGTGAAATCTTTTCATTTTCCAGGGTTGTAGTGTGGGGTGTGGATTCAATTTGTTGTGCCAGAATATGAATTCTATGAGCAAGTGTGTGAAGATAAATTTTGGAGAATGAATTTGTAATGTGCTTTTTAAATTGCTGTTTCATGATATGAATGAATGCACTTTCCCATGAACATACGTGTACATACATATAGATAATTTATACAATTAATCAAATTCCATAAAATCTCTAAAGGGCCAACACAACAAAAATTAAAAGTAACTTTAAAATCTTAAGATTTGACATCTACATCTTGCACACTAGAAAACAAATTCTACTTTTTGTTCCATAAATCAGAAGAGATAGTGACACACTTGTGCTTCAGGCCAAAAGAAGGATGCACCAAGGCCCAAAAGTAACCAATCAAAAAAAAAAAAAGGTGCTTCTCTGTGCCCTAAGACACTTGAAAGATTGGCAGTAAAGAGAACTGAAGGTACAGAGAATGTGTTTAGCACATACGAGCAAATGGACTCTTTTAGTGGCTTCTCTTATAGGGACACAGATGGGCAGCTCGCAGGCAATGTCTGGGTGTAGGTGTTTCCTGTATAAATAAATGAGATACCATGATATTTATCCTAAATCCACTCTTAGACTCAATTTCCCTTTCTAAACCTCTCTATCTGAATTCTCCAGTACCCTAAATACCTCAACATAATATTCTTTTTCATAGCTAAGTTTAAAGCTCTCCAGTGATGAAACCTGTTGACAGTGTTAAATGTGTTAAAAATTACTAAAACTGATGTACTATTGATATACTATTGAAGACATGACAGAGAAGACAGAACGTGGAAAGAATAAGAGACTTGTTAGAGATTAGAGATATGATGGTATCCAGATCCACTGTGACCTGAATTATGCCTCTCAGTGATAGCTCCTCTCACTTCAGCTTCCTCCTTTCTTGGTCTCCCCTGCTACTCTCTCAGTGAGCCCTGCTATATCCTGTGCCTTTATGCCTCATCTCTACTCTTATATATATAAGACTATATATATATATAGTCTTATTTCCTCAAACACTGTTCATTTACTCTTGTGAAAATTTCCAATATGTTCTATTCTTGCTATTGAAATAAAGTTCAATCTTGTTATCACCCACCTGTACAATGGTGCACCAGAATTTCTTATTCCTAAGTAAAACCTGTGACCTTCCATTTCTAACCCCTACACTTTCCAGCTTATGGTAATTACAATTCTAGTCTAAACTTCTAAACTTTCATGAGGTCACCTCTTTCAGATTTGACATATAGTGAGACCTTTGTTCTTCTTTCCCTTCTTCTATTTCATTTAGCCTAGTGATCTTCAGGTCCATGCATGCTACAGCCAATGGAAGGATTTCATTTCTTTTGTTTTTTTTCTTCTTTGTTTTTTCTTTTTTTGGCTAGAGTATTCTATTATGTAAATGTACTTCATTGTGTCCATTTATTAGTTGATGGACACTTAGATTGTTTCCCTTTCTTAGCTACTGTCAGTAGTGCTGCCATAAACATGGGAGTATAGAGGTCTCTTCAACATCCTGACTTCATTTCCTAGGGATATATGCTCAGCAGAGGATTGCTATACTTTATGGTTACTTGGCTGGGGAAGCTGTCTGATAATGTCTTTATACTTATTTATTTGTAAAGAACATTTGCTTGTTTTATATTTTTTATTGGCATATTTTTCCTTCAGTTCTATAAGAATCTAATGGCACTCACTTCTTGTCTACATGTTTCTTGTTAGGAAATTCATTGTCAGGTGAATTAGGACACTCGTATGTGTTGTTTATTTCATTTCTCTTGATTCCTTTGGACTCTTTACCTTTCATCTTTGAAATCTGTATTATAATATGTAATGACAAGAGTTCAAGGGTCCAGGTCAAATTTGGGTGCACAACTAAATTTTTACCCCCAAGGAGAGACTTAACTCTCTCCATTGTGTGCTTCCTGGGGCTTTGTGAAGGAACAAGGAGGGTGATCCTGTGGCCAAAAATGCTGCAAAGATATGTCACACACTGAGGCCTCAGCCTGCCAAGGCGACACAGAACTGGGAGGGACCAACGTCCTCAGTGTGATGAGCTGCCTACTGCTGAGGTAGACTCATGGCCCACGACTCCTGCAACCAGCCACAGACTCTTCTTGAGTCTGTTCCACCAGCACACAGTCTTGCTCTCTCTATGAGGTCAGTCTACATTTAAGGCCTCTAATTCCTACTGAGTGCAGAGTATCACAACGATGGGCCTGGAATTGTGCTTTAAGACAAAATCCTGTTTCTGCTCTTGTGTCCTGTTCCTTAGCAAGTGGAGTCTTGATTTTCTTTCTGTCAAGACATCTTGGAAGAGTGGGGGAGAGAGACAGTCTCTTTGCTGCCCAACCAAAAACAGTTCCTGATCTCCATCTGAGGTTACTATCATGGGAACAAGGATTGTTGGGCTCTACTGGGCACCTGCCTAGTTCTGAGTTTCAATTCTAAGGCCTGGACTTAATTACCTTTCCATTCCCCAAGAAGAATG